GTAGGGTTAATATTTCCAAATGAAAGTAGTCAGTTTAGTGAATATTAATTCTCATTAATGAAGGCAGTAAATTCTAGTGCTGAATTTTTTTCTTTGAAAAATTTTGTACATACTTCCATATAAATATAAAATATGACTAATACAGCCATTTTAGAAAGTGTAGTCTTTTCTTCTTTTTTCCCTTTTAGCTTGGTTCTCTCCCCATCACCTCTCCACTCCACTCACATCAATGCCCAGATTGCCTATGTAATCCTAGAGTTTCCACATTTTACTGAACACACACACACACACACACACACACACGGCTTTAGGTACTGTTCATCTTACAAAAGTTGGATCATATTATATATACTTTAATGTACCTGGCTTTTCTAAATACCTCATGGAAATCTTTCCAATATCTGTGTGATGATACTTCAAAAAGCTTGTGGGCAATGGAATTAAACCATAAGTTTATTTTGTTGCAAAAAAATTGAAATCCATTTTTAATATATTATGCATTTCCACTAACTTTTTGAAGAGCCTTTTTATGCATGAATTTAAAGTTTTTTAGTACTTCATAAACTTTTGATTCTATTTTCTAAGCACTTTTTGAATACCCTTGCATGGTTCTAATTCATTTAACAGCTATGTATCATTCTATATTGCAAATATACTAATGATCTACTGCAGATTTTTTTTCAGTTTTTACTTTACAGATCTATGCTATAATTGACATTTTTGCATTGTGGCTTTTTCCCCCTTTGGAATCTCCCTAAGTGTGTGATTGCTGGATCAAAAAAAAAAAAAATGGTTCAACTGTGTTTTGCTATTTAAAGGAGAGATGCTTTCAGCTTTTGTTTCTAATTTGCTAAGTGACCTTGAGCATGCCTGGTTTTCTCCGTGGTGTAGCAGGCGTGTGGAATCACAGATGACCTTGAGTGTCCTCGGTTTGTTCTGAACTTCTCTGCTTCAGCCTTGTGTTGTGCTGCAGTGACGCGGGAATCCTCACTTCTGCTGAATCAGAAGCAAGCGTGCTGCCTCTCTCTCGGTTTGGAGACAGGACCTACACTCTGCAGGGACTGGTCCCTTAGCTGACCACTCACTTCTAAATCTGGACTCCTTTGCAATGCTGTGCTGAGGGAAGTTTGCCTGGAGTAGTCTGTGTCTCCCTGACACCTGGAGTCCCATGAGAATGGAGAAGACAAGGAGGCTGACTGCAAGGACTCCAGGCTTCTGCTATTTATGTTGAGATTTACCTTAGTCTAAGCAAAATGTCTCTGTGTTTGAGCACCTTTCCAATAATTTTCTTTTCGTAAAGAAAAATACTTGATTATCGGTTAACTGAACCACTGAATGAGGAGAGGCAAATGTGGCACGATGATGAGCTACTTTGTCAGACTTTCCAATTTGGGTCTATCTACCCACATGAAACCTTCTGGGCTGGGTAGAGAAAACTGTCTTATTTGCTAAATCTGTGGAGTTTCCGTTTAGGTACCTCACATGCACATTATCATTTAATCCTCAACCACCTTGAGGTAGGTTCATTCTTCTTATCTTTATTTTTGCCATCAGGACTCTCCAAGGTCCAGAGCTAGGAGGTAGTGCAGTGTGTCGGCAGAACCCACGTCCCTGGCACCAAACAACACTGCAATGCAGCTGGGTGATGGCAGACAAGGGGGACAAAAATATCTCATGGCTTCGCCCCTACCAGTAGGGCCACTGGAAATCCACCCTGGCCCTAACATCTATCATCTATAGCAGCTTCAGGTGTCATAGCTCTCATTTTAAAATCACAGTGCTCACATTGTATTTCCCAGTGTTATGGGGGTGGCCAGGAAGCCACACGGGCCTGGGTTCAAATCCTGCCTCTGCCCGCTGAGCTGGGCCACTTTCTCCGTCCTCCTGGCTAAGCGCACTGGCAGCTTTTTCCAGCACACTGCCCTGAAGAGCAGCGAAGGCTAGTGCCCTGGTCTTGGCACAAACACTGGCGTCAGGGCAGTCACCTGAGGTCTCTTTCAGCAGGCTACCGCCATACAGTTGGGTGGACACGGATTTGCAAAAATAGCTATTTATTTGCTTATCTGCATGGAAGGAGGGTGGGAACAAAGTGATCGAGGACAAAATCAATTACTATTTTTCATCTTTGACAAAGTAATTAAGGCCGTAGTGACTGGCTAATTCCGACCGAATGGCTGCGCGATGATGGATGCGGATTTATGGGCTCCTTGGCTGCGGCGCGGGTCAGATTATCACTCCAAACAGGCGGCTGCGGAGGGCGGGGGCAGAGGCCCGTGTCCAGAGGACGTGAGCCTTTACCTCTTTTTATTCCCCACCCCCCCCCCGCGCCGTAAAAATAAATACATAAATAAATTTACAAAACCACAGTGGATCCATTCTCTGCGTTTCGCAGGCAATGATACACGCCAGGACGCACAAGCTGCCCCGGGGCCTGGCCTCCCGCCCCTCCCCGCACGCTCTCTCCCGCCTTCGCACCCAAACCTTCCTGCCCGGCTAGTTCCCCGCCACTCCACCCCCGCGCTGGCCTCAGAGCGACCCCTCTAGGCCCCTGGGTTCTGGACTGCCCCTCCACCCGCCACAAGGCCCCTCCTCTCCAGAATCTTGCGGCTAAAGGGGGAGGGGTGGGAAGCCCTAGCAGCGCCTCCACCACCCTCCCCATCCCCTCAACACCCGCAGCTTTGCCTGCGCGTCACCCGCCTCTGCAGGTGCTGACGCGCGGCGGGCCCCACGCGGGAACCCGAGTGCGCACTTGGCCGGGGAGGGCCGGCGGGCGACGCGTCAGGGCAGGGGGCTGAGCAGGGGCGCAGGCGTCACTCACGCCCAGGGCCGCGACTAGGGGAGGCGAGAAGGCCGGCAGAGCTCCCGCGCCGTTGCGCCGCCCTCCTGCTCCTCCTGGAGCCAGGAACCTCGTGCGCCCTGGAGCGTCTCGTACCGGGTGGAGGCTTCACTCACTCGTGGCCCTGTGCGGAGGCTGCTCAAATGCAAATTGCGAAACTGACCCGAACTTTTCCAAGTCGTGATTGTCCCTCATGGAAGTCAGTCCAGACTGCAGAGGGAGGCTTACGCAAGCTACCGGCCGCGCACCAGCGCTTATCTGGCCTGTCCTCTACATCCCGGCATCCCAGTCTGGGTCCTTCTTGGAAATTGGGGTTGTTTTGGAATAAGCGCCAGGCAGGTTCCCCCCTAAACTTCCCTCGTGGCACCAAGAACCTAAGATGTTTCCCAGCGCCAGCCAAGGCGGGAGAATGGACCGGCCCTTGCAGGATTCTTGGCTCGCAGCCTCGCCCGACCCTCTTCCAGCCTGAGTTCACAGGGGCTCACATCTGGCTCCTTAGCGTCCTCCCGGGCCTTGCCGGGTTCCCTCTGAGCGGGCCCTGGGGAGAGAGCGCGTGTGGCGCCAGCGACCGCCCTCTAGGAGGTGGTAGGGGGTTTCTCCGGGATTCGACAAAGATGTTCTGAGCCTCAGCTTTCCCAGCTTTTTAAAATTGGCAGAGTTTCTCGAAGACTGCTGCCAAGGCTTAGTGGGACCATTCATGGAGAGCACAAAATTCAGTACTGAGACCTCGATAAATGTTAACTCAGACTACAGTAAAAAGCGCCCTGAAACCAACGGAAGCTCTTAGGGAACCTAAAGTACAAGAAATGCAGGCTGTGGGCTCCAGCTGGCCGCCCTCCGAGGGCCCAGGTGGGAGAACCCAGCAACCGAGGCGTCGGAGGGCGGTGGGCATCTCGGGAGGGGGCAGCCCTGCAGTGCCCCCGGCGCCCGCCGCAATCTGCCGCCGCAGCCTCTGCCTGCGGCCGCCTCGGCGTTATCCTCCAATCGCAAGGGGGCTGCCCAGCCGAGTGCGACGGTGAGGACCCGAGGCAGTGGGCCGGGCGGCGGGCAGCACGGAAGGGAAGTGCTGTCCACAGCTCTCCAACCCCGAGGCCAGGAGTTCCCTGAGTGAGGCTGGCAGGGGTGGAGAGAAGAGAAGTCTTTTTGCTGAGCATCCCCCTCTAGTTTGCAAACTACCTCTTTGTGAAAGCGTTTCCTCTTTCTTATGATAGTAACCCCTGCCTTGGAAAGTCCATTTAATTGCCGCGGCCACTGCCCCTCCCCTCCTATCCTCTCCAACGGACTTGGCTTCCTGGGGTCTGTGCTGACCCCGGTTGCTGGGGATCGAGTTTTTTTTTTTTTTTTTTTTTTGGGGGGGGGTGTCTCTAAGACTTCGCTCGCTTACAAATCAGGCCTGGCTCTGGTTGTTTTTTTCCTGAAAGGAATATGGGAAAAAAAAGACAAAAAAACAAACAAACAAAAAAACCAAACGGGTGTCCTTTGAAAGTGGTCTGAGACCCAGGTCAGTGGTGAAAATGAAATCCTTTTTATTTCTCTAAAACATTTTCGAAAGAACTTTAAAAAGTACATTGAGTACAATCAATTGCTCAGCATTTTCTCTTCATTGTGTTATAATAGGACCTCAATTCGAAAACCCAGGATCCCTCCAAGAACCTTTATCTGGGATGGTAGGGATGCGGGAATCTGAAGTCTGCGTGCAGGCAAGGTGGGTGCACCCAAGGGAATGCAGAACCTGTGTCTGTATCAGCCACGGCACAGCTGTGAGACTAGGAGCAGACCTTCTATCGCTTTCTGGCTAGTGTTATGGAGCCTGCTGAAGGTTCAGAGAGACAGCTCTGCTCCTGGAATCTGCTGGAAGATAAAAACACCATAGTGGTTGAACCCCTCCCCCGCTCCTACCTCGACAGCCCACTCCACTCTGCTGGCGGCTGCGCCTGGCTTTGGGTGCAGTGGGACGTGTCCCTCCCATGTTTCCATTAATTAGGAGGAGGCAAACTTCTGTCTTCCCCTCCCACCGGCTTTGGTTTAGTAATCAGACCCACATGAGTCACGCCAAACCCACAGCCCCCTCCTGCCCGACTGACAACTAGCAAGCGTACTCTAGGCTGTTGTCCCTTTAAAATTGGAATCCAAGGGGGTAATGATTTATCAAACTTGTATTATCAAGAAGATGTCAAACGAAGGGCACCTTGCTTTGCACTGACGCAAACCTGGCCTTTCCCAAGGAGATATAGAAACGCTTCTCCTGCGGAGCCAAACCCAGTTAATAGCGGGCTTTGCTCTCTACCGGTTCAATCTGTTGCCTGTGTCCGACATGGTGAGTGTTCCTTTTGTTCTTTTCGTAGGAAAGTGGTCTGAGGGGATAGGAAGGCAGATTCGTTTTGGATATTTCCTTTTGAAAGACCTGTGCGTTGGGCAGGAGGAGGGTGAGCAATTATTGCAACCATAGGTATTTGTATTGGTGAACAGCACCTGCAGTCGGAAAGAGGTTTGCTATACTGTAGGGCTGAGGGGGTCGGTGGCGGGTGGCTCTCCAAGGCGGGATTCTGAGCGCTGTCCTCGGTGCTGAAAAACCAGATGCCGCTACACAGGCGCGTTGCCCTGGGTCCTAGAGGCTATTGAGACAGCAAGGCTGGCTGGGGTAAAGGCGCTTAGACTGGACGCCAATTAAGGAGTTTTGATCTATGCATTTTGTGAAAGGGAGCTGGGCGGGGGGACAGGTGATTGAGGCGAAGGTGTTCTGATTATTCTTACAATATAGCAATAACTATTGATGCTAATATTTAGGAAGCCCCAAAGCTAAGACGAGGGGCATAAGAAGCCCAAAGGAGCACAACTGACAGTTGTTCTCCTATGAAATCCAATTGGGAGGAAGCATTATAAATTAATTGTGAGTTTTGGTCTTCACGCAAGGGTACGGGTGTGAAGGATATTAGATTCCTGTGAACAGTCAATGCCTACAAAACGAATACAATACAAAAAAATTTTCAGGTTCGTTTACATTTCTGGAAATCTGAAGGTGAATGTAGATTGTGGGAGATAGACCATGTTACTACCTGTGTTTTAAGCCTGGTTAATTATTGTTGTTGTGGGATTTTGCTATTGGTGGTGGTGTTTTGATCGAGATCTTTATCTTTGCCTCTGCTACCCAGCAGGCTGGGGTGAGTTTGGGGGCGCTGGGATTTGCACAACCAATTTGGCCTCAAGCGCTCACTGGTGCCAAGGCATCAGCTTTGTGGCCACAGCTTGTCTATGGGAAAGAAAAAAAAAAGGCAATGTGCATTGTTGAATGACAAAGGAAATGGGGCGGAAAATTAAAGAATCTTTCTACAATGGTGACGGGGGCGCCCACACCCCACAGCTGTGATGTGAAATCCAGAACAGGCGGGGAGCTCTGGGCTGTAGGGCTATTTACACCCTCCCAGTTTGCCCCCTCCAAAAACCACTTCTCCCTCTTTTCTTACTTCGTCCTCCATCGGGAAGGGCATATCAGCTTGCTTCTGTCATCGGGTTACTCAGAGACTGCAGAGTTGAGAAATACTGACTGCAATTTTTCTTGGGGAAAGGGAAAAATCCAAATTCCGATTTGCGCCCCCAGATAATGCGTCTGGACGTGAGCTGTGAAGTCTCCATGTGTAGATACAGGTATTTTTAACGCTGCCGCGACTTAAATTTTTTTGCACGAATTTAACGTTGTGTTTGCAGGATTGCAGTGCCCCCAAGGAAATGAATAAGCAACCGGCCAACAGCCTGGAGGCGGCGGCGGTGCCAGGCCACTCGGATGGCCGGTGTGCGCCCAGGACCAGCCCTGAGCAGGAGCTGCCCGCGGCCACCGCCGCGCCGCTGCCACGTGTGCCCAGGTCAGCTTCAACCGGCGCCCAAACTTTCCACTCAGCCGACGCGCGGGCCTGTGAGGCCGATCGGTCTGGAATGGGGTCGTGCAAACTCAGTAGCCCTCGGGCTCAGGCAGCCTCGGCTGCTCTGCCGGACTTGAGCGAAGCGCACCGCGCGCAGGCGGTCTCGGCTTCGGCGGGCGCCGGGCCAGGCAACGCACTGCACTGTAAGATCCCGGCTCTGCGAGGTCCGGAGGGGGATGCGAACGTGAGTGTGGGCAAGGGCACCCTGGAGCGGAACAATACTCCGGCCGTGGGCTGGTTGAACATGAGCCAGAGCACCGTGGTGCTGGGCACGGATGGAATCGCGTCAGTGCTCCCGGGAAGCGTGGCCACCACTGATACCCAGGTAAGCAAGTCGCGTGGGGCCCGCGCCGCCTTCTGCTCTCCAGCCGCGCACGGGGCGAGACAAGGCGAGCCAGGCCGTGGCGGGTGCACGTGTGCTGATGGGGATACCGATTGGCAGTGCCAAGTGATGGATGTGGGACACGGCTTTGTGGCTTCAGAAGCTCGCACTGCGCTGAGGTGGCCGGTTTAGGGCACGAGGGCTGCAGTGACCATGCCAGAGGGGCCACAACTTGCCACTTGTCAGCCCAGGACGGTGGTAGGACCAGGGATTGGGGTGCAGATCCGACAGATTACCTGCTTTGTTCAGACACAATTCCTCTCCTGCCTCTTACCTCTTTATTTGTTTTCCTTAAATTAAAAAACAAAAACACGGAGTAAACTCTGTGGTGGTGGTGGCTAATGGTTTAATATCAAATGAGGATTCATTGGATGCAAGGTGGGTTTGCATGAGGCTACTGAAGCTTCAAGCTTTGGGGCCCATCTTTTGCCCTGACCCTTCCAAAACCTGGTATCCAATATTCTTATCATAATTTTGCTCCTCAACTCCCAAAACAAACTTTCATCAATTTTGTAAGCTTCAGGCCCCACCAAACTGGATCTGTCCCTGCATTTGCCCCCTTACCACTCAGAATGGTAGAAAAACCCACTGAGCTAATCTCTGCCCCTGGTTAAGGACAGAGGCAGCTCTCTTTCTTCCATGTAAGCTTTTGTTTTCTGCCATTTCCCTCCAGTCAATTTCCCTTCTCTCATCTTCTGTGTGAGTCCTGTTTCACCTACTGCAGCTCTCCCATTGCCTGCCTTTCTGCTGTTTCCTCTCCTCTTCTGGGCTCAGGAGCTAGGTTTTTGTTCAGCAATAGGGCTCTCAGACCAGAATATCTGCCTGTGTGCAATGCAGGGTTTATAGAGCCCTTCTGTCCTTAGTCACTTCAGTGTTTGCACCACACACACACACACACACACACACATACTCTCACATTTATCCATAGACCTACACCCAGCTGCTAGAGTAAGTAGAAATGGACATGAACTTGGACTTTCCCACTCACCCTTGATTTGGGGGGTTCACCTCTGTCTATGTGTATTAGCTGTCTATGACAGCATGAACCCCATAGTGTGACCCTGAATGTGGAAGAAAATTCATTTCACATGCCTTGCTTAACCTCTGCACTGCGGCAAGAGGGACTGGAGCTCCCCATCTCCCCCGCCTTTACAGCCTGGAAGCCTGGGAGGTGGGGTTAGAGGTGGGGGTGGTGTGTGGGTGGGAGGAGTACAGGGAGGATGTTCCCGTTCTTGCAAGTACTTTTTTCAGCCCCGCCCATCTTGCTGATTGTGGTTTTCCGACACTCACCCTGCTCCTCCCCAGGACTTCTGTTTTACCCTCTGGGTGTGTGTGTGTGTGGTGGTGGGGGGAATAGTACAAGGCTCACCAGGTTACTACAATGGGAGGAGGAGGGTGACTGAGGATGGCAGTGGCCCGAGTCTCTGGAAGCTTTGTGCAGAGTCCAAGTGTCCTGAACATGTTCAGAGTGCACCTTATGTGACCTCATCCCACAGCTTTTCCTGGTGAGCAGTCAGGCATTCCAGAACCGGGTTCAGCCCCAAGAAAGCATCGTAGTGGGAGCTTGGAGAAGTGAGCCATGAAAGATACATAGATTGCTGGAGCTGGCCAGTGCCTCAAGGGACAGTTATTTCAAGCCCCTTGTTTTACAGATGTGGACACAGAGGTTCAGAGAGTGCAAGTGGTTGCTTGGGGTAATCTAGCTGATCAGCAGTAAAATTTAGACCAGAACCCAAAGTTTTATACACTCTGTCTCTTACCATATGTACCTTTTCCGTTTGCCAGCTTTTTATTTTCACCCACCCCCCTCCTGCATTTCTCCTTTGCCCCAGGGCAGAAGTAGCCTCCCCTTCCCCTAAATTCATTTCCCCTTCCCCTAATTTAAATTAGCTGACCAGGCAGGTTTCCTGTAGGCTTTGGTGAGGCAAAGGCTCTGGCTGGCTTCAGGCATTGCAGCTCTCTTTCTGGCCTTTGCACACAATCCACAGAAAGGGCAGGCAGGGGAAGGGGTGGTGTGGTGAGGGCACTTCGGGAGGAGAGGGAGGGATTGGTTAGGAATCTGCTTGCTGGGAACTTTGGGCATGATGTTGGGAGCCTGCTTGCCAAATAAATTCTTGGGGATGGAGGGATCTGCTTGCAACCAACCTCTAGTTTCAAGGTTTGGGGACAGCTGCTTGCCAGTGGGTTCGGACTGCAGGATTTGGCAAAGGGGATTCTGGGATCTGTTTAAGGTGGATCTTCAGATAAGAAGTCGGGGCCTGCTTGTTGAAAGACTCGCAGGGCCAGGTTGAAGGGTGATGTCCTTGCTTGTAGATGCATTCGTTCTTTAGAATTGGGGTCCTGCTTGCCGATGCATCCTCGGTTGAAACTGCGGGTCTGCTTGCTGGGAAGGACCCTCGGCCGGAGGGCGGGGTGGAGTGGGACCTGCTTGCGACCTAGCAGGGGCTGTTATCCGACCATGTGCTTTTCCGCCCCCAGGAGGACGAGCAAGGGGATGAGAATAAGGCCCGAGGGAACTGGTCCAGCAAACTGGACTTCATCCTGTCCATGGTGGGGTATGCAGTGGGGCTGGGCAATGTCTGGAGGTTTCCCTACCTGGCCTTCCAGAACGGGGGAGGTATGGCTTTTCCGCTCTTTCCGCCTGCGGCGCGGCGGGGCGGGCTCTTGAGGGGCGTGGGGGGTACGCAGAGCCCTCGGGCAGGGTCCGAGGTGGGAGGCTCAGGGCAGCCTCGGCAGTCCCCAGCCTCATCCCCTGGAAGCTGCTGCGTAGAGCTGGAGGGCAAAAGCAACAGTAGGCGGTGTGCGCTGCATCCAGGAGGCTTTTACCTGGAGATGGAGAGCCAGAGAGGCCCCCGCACCTGCGCCCGATCCAGTCTGGCGGACCTTGGGTCGCGACCCAAGAGAGCATCGACGCATGGGAGTGCAGACTGTAGTGTAGCCGTCGCGTATCTGGGCAGTGACGCGAACCTAATCGATTTTACAGCCAGATGCTGTGCAGTCCTGGAGGTCTGAATTAAGAACATTCTAAGACGATAACGAGGAAATCTAAGCTTCTAGGACAGACTAAGAATGCGCGCGGAGGAACGCAGCACGCAGGTTGCCCGGAAGGCGCGAGGGGGGAGGGGCTGCCCTTTGAACCCCCAGCAGAAGTCCCCTTCTCCAGCCTCCCACACAGCCCCTCTCGGGCAGACACCGGCTATATTTCGATTTTGGTAAAATCGATGAGCAATCGTAGTTTTCTTTCCATTGTCCTAACTGCCTCTGAAGAGCGGAGATGGCGAGAACACGGGATAGGCCCGCGCCAGCTGCAGGGCCACCACAATCCAGCACTTCCATCTCCGCGGGGAGGGAACCGACGCGTGCAGGGTCCCATTTGCTTCCCCCTCGCCACGCGACGCTCAGGCGCCGCGGACCAGACGTTCGTTCCCACGTCCGCGAACCAGGCGCCCTCTAAGAATAAATAGGAGTTTGCTCCTTTCCCGCATCGTCGCAGCTGCGGTCAAAGGGACGAGGCGCGCCCTCCCGCTCCCCAGAGAGCAGCTTCAAGGTGGTTTCATTTTGCATTTGCCTCTTGGTTCCGCACCAGGCGGAGTCTGGCGCTGTGAGACGGACAGGTGGGCCAACACGGGACGGCTAAAACGGCAAAAATGGGTGACCTCCTGCCCTCGACCGGTTCCAGATTAGAACACGTGGACAAGTACTCATGAGGCCCGCAGAGCTTTTGTAATCAGGAGTGTCCTGGAAAGAAAAGGACCAGCGCTGGCCTCACGGAGATAGATAGGCTCCCAGCAGGGACCCGGGAAGGTCCCGGGACCCGGGAAGGGAGTGGAGAGGGAATTCAGCCAAGGGAGTTTAGGGACACAAGTGCCTGCGCTTTGCTGGCCCGAGATCCGTGGAGTGCGGGGCTGCGGGCGCCCGGCCACGAGGTAACCGGGGATGCGGGCGGAGCCAGGTGTCGGGAGCGGGAAGGCAGACTTCTCCCGCACTGCGAAGGCGCCCGGGGCCCGCAAACCCTAGCGCAGGGTGCAGAGCCCGGTCCCTCCTTCTCCTCGCACATCCTCTCCTTTCTCAAAGCTGTTACGAGAGGAGGACAAAGCAGGGTCCCCCGGTTGTCTCCCCGGCGGCCCACGGTTGCTCCCGGGAGAGCCTCTGGCTGGAAAGGCCCTTCCGTGGAACACGGGCCGGGAGAGGGACCACTGCCGCATCAGAGAAAGATCAGCTTTCTCTTTGCTGAATAGTGTTCTGGGCTATGGAATTTCTACCCCTCAGATTGATCATGGGAGAGTGCTTCCTGGTTGAAACTTCCTAAAACATCGTGGCAATTCCCCAAGCCCCTCCCACACAACCTCAAAGAATCCTTAGAGGGAAGAAGCCCAGACCACCCTCAGCAAGCCTGTGAGGCTCCCAGGCACTGCACTAGGGTGGGCATTCTGGGGAATGGAGAGATGGCAGTAACTGACTTAGGCGGCTCACCACCCTGTCCAGACACCCCACATCAACGTTAGCCAAGGATCAGAGCCTGGGGCAAGGTGCTGTGGGAAGACAGAGCAGGGAGCCTTTCTGAGGATGAACCATTTGCATTGACCTTGAAGGCTGCAAGGGAATTCTCTTATGGAAAAGGAGGGTGAATAGTGTGTGATGGGGGTGGTGGTTGTGGGGGAGGGATTCTCACGCTGGCTGCCTGTCCCACAGAGCAGACACAACCCTGGTTGGCACAAGGTGTACCTGGGTCATTGTGGAAAATGGCTCCCCAGGATTAGCTTAGCAGGTTTTAGATCCTGGGAAGGCTGGGACTCTGATGCGATTTCACCCAGTTTGCTTTCAGCCAAAGGCATGGATTTGCTGATCCCTAGAGGGACTTAATTTGGAGACATTAAAGTGCTACCAAAAATGAAACTGCAAAACCGCACATCACCCCAGACATTCTGTTTGATGGAGCTTTGAGACAAGGAGTGAATTTGTATAAGTTCCCTTACACTATTGGAGGAGGGCTTTTAAATGAACTGGGGTTACCTGTTATTGAGCCAGGATGTCAAAAGCTTCTTTGGAAAAGGAGCTTAATTGTCCTTTAGCTCATTAAAAGGGAGCCCCACCCCAACCCAGAGGGTTAAGGTGGCCCAGAGCCCTGCCTTTCCCTCCCAGAGCTCTCACTTCCCACTCTCTCTTTCCAAGGTGCTTTCCTCATCCCTTACCTGATGATGCTGGCTCTGGCTGGGTTACCCATCTTCTTCCTGGAGGTGTCGCTGGGCCAGTTTGCCAGTCAAGGGCCAGTGTCTGTGTGGAAGGCCATCCCAGCCCTACAAGGTGAGTCCCACCTGCCTCCCAGCCTCTCCGGGCCCTTACACTGCCCTCTCTGGCTCCAGTAGAACTGTGATCAGTAGCCCCCACTCCTTCCTTCATTTACTGACTCTTTCTGGAGGATAGTCAAAGATCCTCTCTGACGGTGTTGAGTTCCTGGCAGGGTGCCTCGGTGTCCCTGGTAGACATTGAGTCCACCCGACTTGGGACATCCCTCTGTACTAGATCATGACCCTGTAGTCAACTCTGAGAATTCCATGGGAATTGGGATAAGAATGAACTCTAGAACTTTTGCTTCTGCAGGTTGTGGCATCGCAATGCTGATCATCTCTGTCCTAATAGCCATATACTACAATGTGATTATTTGCTACACACTTTTCTACCTGTTTGCCTCCTTTGTGTCTGTGCTGCCCTGGGGTTCCTGCAACAACCCTTGGAACACGCCAGAATGCAAAGATAAAACCAAACTTTTATTAGGTAAGTTTGGATATACCTGCTTTAGCTGTGTGTGGTTTGAACTATTATGTGGTCATTCAAAAGAGATTAATTGAACACATGTTTGTCAGCCTCTGTACTAGGTGCTGGGGACACAGAGATTAAATCAAACAACTAAACATGTTTAGTTCTAACATTTAAGGAGCTCATGGCTCAGGGGTGGGATAGTCAAATTCCTCTTTGCTCATGAATAGTTTTAAAAATGCAGACTCACTTCAACAATGAGGCTTAAAGTTATGTGTCCAAATCTGTCTCAACAGTGAGGTGATGCTTACCAGTTTCCTATAGGCAGATACCTAGTAACCAGGTACAGAGCTAGCCCTGTTTCTGTATTGTACTTCAAACTCAATGCCAATTATCTGTGGTGATTTATTCAAAGCCATGGATTTGGGTCAGGTGCATAATCCATTGTAGTAGTCATTATAAAAGTTTGCTCTGCCTTCACATTATTAACCGTATCTTAAAACATAGTACATTTCTTTCCATGAATTGTATCCCTGCCTAGTCTGTACTTCAACTTAGTGGTTCTCAGAGTGTGGTCTCTGGACCAGAGGATAAGCATCACCTGGGAAATCAGCAAGCACACATCCTCAAACACAGGGAATCAGAAAGTTGGGGGAGGGGCCAGTGTTGTGATTTAAAAAGCCCTCCGGGTGGTTCTGGTGCTAGTTTGAGACCCACTGTTGCAGCTCAAACAGCCGCTGCTGTAATTCAGGCCTGGTGAACCTCAGGTACCAATTTCCATATGAGTTACTTTTTTATTTTTTTATTTTTTTTTTATTTTTGACAGGCAGAGTGGACAGTGAGAGAGAGAGACAGAGAGAGAAAGGTCTTCCTTTTGCCGTTGGTTCACCCTCCAATGGCCGCCGCTGCAGCCGGCGCACCGTGCTGATCCGATGGCAGGAGCCAGGATCCAGGTGCTTTTCCTGGTCTCCCATGGGGTGCAGGGCCCAAGCACCTGGGCCATCCTCCACTGCACTCCCTGGCCATAGCAGAGAGCTGGCCTGGAAGAGGGGCAACCGGGACAGAATCCGGCGCCCCGACCGGGACTAGAACCCGGTGTGCCGGCGCCGCAAGGTGGAGGATTAGCCTATTGAGCCACGGCGCCGGCTCCATATGAGTTACTTTATTAAATACCCTAATCTTGACCATCTGGTGGCGATTCCCCAATTTAAATATTCGAAAGCAAGAACATTAAAAAAATGCAACTCCATAGGCCTGCCAAATAGTCTGGCTCATTAGATTTTGGTGGAGTCATGTAATTTGCAGTTTTACAAGGTCTTCCAGGATCTTATGTCCCAAAGTGCATCTGTCAGGCTGGTAACAGCACTTCGAGGGTGATTAGAAGCCCCACCCTTGCCTGCCTAATGCCCAGGTGACTCGTCTGTATGGCACAATTTGAAAAGCAATGCTGAAGGTCCTAAAGTCGAGGAGAGGGGTGATAGAAGCAACCCCCGGTCACTCTTCACAAAATACGGCCCGGGTCGCAAGGTGAATGTGAGAGCAGAGCCTTTGACTTAGCCCTCCAATGGAAACATGCCTGCTGTAGGACCTAGATGAGGGCAGGTCTGCGGGGGAGTGTTCTTGGAAGACCATTGCAGATGTGAGATTGCCTGGGATGTGAGGACTTGAGGGAAATGCCAGCCTTTTGGATTAAGGGCAAGAGTAGATTTGAGGAGGAGCAAGACAGATGTGTCAAAAAGGCTTGTGACCTGCCAGACATCTCCCCCACTGACTGTGCATGTCTGGGTCAGATAATTTCTCTCTGGACTCACTTTGCCCATCTGAAAGATGGAAATAATAATACCATTCTTCACCCCACCTACCTTCTGGGATTGCTGTTGGGAGAAAAGATTTGGGAGAGGTAAGTGCTGTATAACAGGGTAAAACTCTCCACATAGAAGGTGGTAGTATCAGTCACTTTTAACGGGAATGTATGAGCAAGGAGCTTCTCCGTTCCCTCGGTCTGTGCTGAGGACAGTGTCCTGTGATTGCTGTACAGGTACAATCCACTCTTTCGCCCTTATAATCTGTGCATTACAGAATGAGGACATTATTTAACTTGTTGAGTCCATTAAGAGCAAAAATATGATTTTCTATCCTCTTACCACCCCAAGAGAGATGCATATACCTAAAGACGGTAGGTAGTTCATGCTGGGGTGTTTTTCCATATGCATGCCTATACATAAATGCCATGTTCAGCCTCCACCTAGAGACGTTGAATGAGACTGCAGGGGAACTCAACCTAGAGACACTTGCTCATTCAGTTCAAACCCTGTGTACTTGGAAGTGCTCAGTGGTAGGGAATGAGGATTTGTGGAGGTCCCTAGGTGTGTGGTTCATTAGTGGTATACTAGTGTTATAAGGGACACAAGAGTCATAGTCCCTTAGCCTCTGGGCCATGGTGTCCGTATTTCTACAATTTTCTCATTAATGGTTCCTTAGGTTAGAACAATGGTTCTCAAGTCCAGCTGCTGTACATTAGAACATCCAGGGGAATTAAAGAATCAAAAACATCATTAGCTTCTGCCCCAGACCAAGAAAATCAGGCTATGGGTGTGGAGCCTCAGAATCTTCCTCAGGTTAACCCAGGGTGGGAACCACTAGGCTGGAGATTGCCCACCTCCCTTAGTTAGGCTGCCCTTATCCAGCTTTGGGATGGAGAGGCCTACCTTTTTTGCCCTGCTGTCCCCTTATCCAGTGGTCAGGTCTGCAAAGCTGCCATCTGAAAGAATCCAACCCGGGTGGCTGTTAGATTCACAACCAACAATCCCTGCCAGAATGACTTCCTGAAGGTGGTTGCCATGTAGGGTATAGGGTCCAGAATGAAGAAATACCTGAAGGTCATAGGTCATCCTAGAGCTCGGTTTGTCCTTTCTGGATTGTAGGCGGGTCGGGGGAGGGAAGTCACTTTCCAGGGGAGTGCTGTTGGAGGAGGGCTGTTTCTTTGATTGGCATTCCAAGGGTTGCTTCTCAGGGAGCTTGCTGATCTTTAGGAGAGATAGCATCATCAGGAGAGAAACATTGTTCTCCTCTACCAACAATACCCACTCTTGTGCAGCACTGTGGTAGTGTAGAATAGCTGACCTCACAACAAGCACCATGTTGAGCCCTTTCATTGTATCACCAATGAACAGGTGTGAAAATCTGCAGCTCAAAGTTACAGTTAGCTCACTTGTAGACTTGAGATTTGAGCCAGGTTTGCCTGCCTCTCAAGGCCATGATCCTAGCCACCATTCTAAATTGCTTTCCAACCTATGAAGCAGCTTTATAAATAATATTTCTGTTATTCTTAGCGAGAATGCTGTGTGTGCCAAATGCCAGGTGACACAATTGCTATTTTGCAGGTGACAAAGTGGACTCTAAGGCTCAAGCTGTATGTTGTAAGGTAGAGCCATTCCTGGAATTTGGGTCTCATGACCCAAGAGCCTCTGCTCACCCAGAGTTCTTAGAGTCTTCCTACAATAGATTCTATACCGTCAGTTCCCGAACAATGATGTCATTCTAGGTGTTCCCTAGCTGATGTTTATGGTTGTGATTCTATGGAATAAAAAGTAAGCTTGTGTGAACAGTGGTTAAATTTAGTACTTTTACTTCTGAAATCTATCTTAAGGGAGAAATTAGAGATGGAAGTAAGGAACATACCAGGTTATTAAATGCAGCTGTATTTACAATACTGGCGCACACCAGAAGCATTTAAACATGTGACCAAAACCCATGTCATTGTTCATTCCACAGTGCCAGTAAATTATGGTTCATTCAAAGAATTAAGTATTCTATTGTCACTCAAAGTGAATCATCATAAAACACAGGAATATCCATATCATAGCATGTTAATTGCAAAAGCAGGATATAGATTTATAGTATAATGTTATCTTTACTTGCAGTATGTGAAGGGGTATAAAACATAGGAAAGTGACAGGAAAATATTAACAATGGTGAATTGGGAGCCACACTTTTCTGCATTTTCTAGCATGGATGTGTATTTATTGCATAGTCTGTATGTATGTGTTTTTTAAAGCACACCAGGCTGGCTGAATGGGCCAGGCACATGGATGGGGGCCCATGTGGTAGAGAAGACCCTGCCTCTGGGCTGGTGTTGTGGCATTTCCAGTCTGGCTCACAATAACCCAGGGCACAGGAAGGGCAGAATGAAGACCTCCCACAGCTAAGCTCCTTTAGACTGGTGCAAACCATAAATGCTATGCACGCTCTCAGCACAGGGAGCCAATGGACATCTCTCACTCTGATTACTCCCTGTGAGCATGTGGACAGGTTGGCCAGATCCTATCTCCTCCTTAGCCAGTGATTTCCTTTTCTTTCTTTCATTTTTTGGTCAAAGAAACAAAGTGTCAGTATCCAGTCTCTTCATACAGCCCTTCCATCTGTCATTCTCTATGTTCTCTGTACTTGAATGTGTGCTGTTCCTGGGGCCAGGCTCTCCCCTTCGCGAGAGTCTTGGTCCCTTCAGATTCTAGAGTAACTTGCGGAAGGTGGTGGTGACCTGACTTGCAGAGACATGGGTGGCTCTGGAGCCTTCCCGCTCTGCTGGCCAGACCAGGAGCCCAGATAATGGGTAGCCCAGGCTGAATCCCAAGTGGCCATGCTGAGCAAGGCTATTTTAGGAGATGGAAAAACTCCTTCCCCCAGCACTGTCCCCCAGATGACCTCCCAGGCTCACCCTCTCCCCTACAACGCCGCCGCCGTAGCTACACGCATCCTGTGGCAACCGGGCAAAGGGACTCGTTTCAGGAGAGGGAGGATGAGCAGCCCTCCATCGTGACCTTCAGCCACGGTGGGGAGATGTTCGTCCCTCTCCCCTCTTTGTGCTGCTAGGGACATGCGCTCTGGGGTGCCTGATTCCCCGTGAGGATGCCAGGGCACTGTACCCACTCTAGCCCCCGAGAAAAGTCCTGGCTCTTGCTTGTGTGTGGAGGCCGCGTCTTTGGGGGATTCTAAGGTGCAGGGGGTAGCAGAGGCTGTTTTTCTAGGGTAACGACCTCCAGGCGTCTGTAATGCAGAACCAGTAGGCTGTGCCCTGCCAAGTGAGACCAGCGACAGTTTTGTGAAAATAGGAGCTAGCTGGGTCACTTCGAATGGGAACAACATAAATACCATTTCTATTTCGGGAATGGCTTAATTTTCATTAGAACTTTAATTAAATGATTCCTTTTCTCCCTGGCCTTCCATGTGCTTTCATTTATTAATAATTGCCTGAGTAAAGAGAATCCCATTCCAACAGCTTCCAATTTAGCGCGATCATTATCGCTGTTCTTTGTTCGGGGTTGCTGGGCCGCGGAGCTCTCCGATGAGACGGCCCATTATTCCTTCGCGTGCAGACCCGCGGGCTGCGGCGCTGAGAAGCGTGCTCCTGCCGCCCAGTGGTGGGAAGCGATATGGCAGGAGGCCGGAGGCTGCCTGCAGCGAGAGCCTGGAGAACCCGTGAGCCCTGCTGCATTGCCGCAGGAACCATGACCTTGTGCGGCTGCGGCGGGCAGCGATCCACAGACATCGCGAGACGCTCTCTAGGGAAGCTGCCTGCCTGCTTCCCAGTGGCGGCGGTTTTGGAAACCAAGGATTTGGCACTTGCCCGCGTGCTGGTGATCTCTCCAGTCTTAGGGAATGGAGGCACTGTTTTGGCAGCAGGCGGAGAAATACCTTCTGCGCTTACTTACGGAATTAAAAAGGGATCTGGGTGATGCCTTAGTTGCTTTCGTTCAGGTTGCTGCTGCGGGAGAGAACAGTTTGCCCTGTAAATCTCTCAGAGTTAGTACATGAGAACCGTTCTGAACCTCTGTTATGTGACCGAAGAAGATAATACTGAGTGGGAAGATCCTTCAAGGACTCTAAGGCAGACGTTTTCACGCAGGGCAGCTCCCATGGGGGCCGTGTTCCATGGCAGTGCTCCCAGTGTTTTTAGTTGTAGCTAGGAATGGGGTGGGTGCTCCTGGCACTCTGCGTGGAGGCCAGAGATACCACTGGGCATCCTGCAATGCACAGGACAGCCTCCCCCCACAGAGAATTAGCTGACCTCAAACATCATTTGCACAACTGTTGGAAAGCCCAGGTCTAAAGAACTCATCAGAGGGAAGGGGCTCTTTCCATGGTTGTTTTAATCTTTGCTCCATATTCTGGGGGTGTATGGGAGGCAGCAGGGAATTTATGGCAGGCAAGTGGGCTGTAGGAGATAATGCTGAGGACCGGGAAACTCAACCCATGAAAAGGCACAAAGACGAGGATTGGGTAATGGCTAAGACTGGAGGGCCGGGCATGGTGTGACATTTTCTGATTTATGATCTCATTTAATTTGGTCCTTGGAGTGACCCTGTGCACTAGATAATGCTATTGCCAGAAGATGGGGGCTTGGGCAGATCCAAGCTCTCAGGGCCAGGGGGGACTCCCGAGCCTGTCCTCTTGCCCACTTTGCCTTCCACAGAGGGCATCAGTTGGAAGTCCATGCACTGCATCTGTGCTGCATTTGTTTTTCTGTTGTTGTCCACAGTATTTAAAAACAGTTTGAGCCTATTTCTAGCTTTTTAAAATGGAAGGGTCTCATGTAAATATCCAGATTTTCTGCATCTTTTGCCAGGACATCTGGGAAAGTGTGGCTCTGACTGACAGGTACTCTCTGGTTGGCCACGGTTTCCACTTCTCCCAGTTATTCCCCACTGTCTGCCTTCTTCATTGTGTCACCAGTCAGGCCCTGTGGGTGCTTGTGTTCATGTTCCCTGCTCTCTGTTTCACCATGGAGTGATTAAGAGCATGGACTCCAAAGAGACAATGCCCATTTGCCTCCTGGCTTGATGCATGACCTTGGCAAGCAACTGCTCCTCTCCATGTGCCCTATTCTTTACCTGTAACCTAGAGTGACCAACAGAGCCTGTCTCATGGAGGGGTGAGAGAGCTGTATGTAAGTCAGTGCATATAAAGCTTTTATTACAGAACTTGAGACATGGGAAAGGCCATATACATGTTCTGTTGATAGTTTTACTCTTTGCTTCTTTACAAAATTATGTCCTTTGGGATTGGTTCCAGTGGATTCTTTGTTTACAATATCTGTCAATTTATCTGTATTGATAAAGCATTAAGGAGGCTTTGTAATATGTCAGAAATACTGCAGATTCACCCTATTTAGAATGAAAACAGCATGGGTCATATGAGGATTTCATGATGTTACCTAAGCATACTGCCTGACAAACCAAGACCCACATGGTCAAGTCCCTCCCTATCCTGCCCTAGACCAGGTCTTCTCAACCTTGGCACAAATGACATTTTGGACTGGATAACTCTTTGTTGTAAGGGGTTGGCCTGTGCGTTGTAGGATATTTAGCAGCACTCCTTGCTTTTACCCATTCGATGCCAGTGGCACCCAGATGTGACAACTACAAATGTCTCCAGCCATTGCCAAATGCCTCCTGGGGAGACAGTTTGTCTCTAGTTGAGAATCCTTGTGTTAAATCTTGGTGCCCACTCACTGGTGGATGGTATGGCCACTGCTAAGCCATGTGAGAGGGAAAAGCACATGCATAGGTATCTTGGAGCTCTTACATGTGTGCATCAGCCGTGTGCCAGGCTGACTCAGGGCCCAGGGCAGACTCACGAGTGTTTGTAAACTTTCTCTGGCAGTAGCCCATCAAGAGGTTTGTATATCTCTGATGCATTCAGTCCTGCCGTTTACTTGTTTTCTGTAACGTCGTGAAGATTTGGGTTTGAAGCCTGATTATGTTCACCGGTCGTGTGACTTCAGTAGAGTTATCTAACTTCTTTAAGCCTCTTTCCACATTGCAGAATGTGCTTAGTTCATTCTTTTTCCAAGTTACTGGCAAATCTTTGGCAAATGATTTTGGCTTTTCTTTTTAAACTGCCAGAGAGGGAGACTTGTGTACGTTTTCTGTTCAGAGTTCACCACGTTTCTGTTCTGTCCTCACTTCAACAGATTCCTGTGTTATCAGTGACCACCCCAAAATACAGATCAAGAACTCGACATTCTGCATGACTGCCTACCCCAACCTGACGATGGTTAACTTCACCAGCCAGGCCAACAAGACTTTCGTCAGTGGCAGTGAAGAATATTTCAAGTAAGAGGGCTTGAGCATTCTAAGGGAAACTCAGGGAATTCACCAACACCCCATGGGCAGAGCGGAGGTCTGGGTGGGTGCCTGGAGGGGGGTACCTCCCTCCACTCCCTCCCCATCCTCCTCCTGCTTGAGTGATCACAGAGGAGGCTTGTTCTCTGAAATTTCCTCCAGGAGCCTGTGGGCCTGGAGAGGAGGGTTGGCTGAATGATGGCCAGTGGAACAGAATCAGGGCCAGCGTAGGACATGATGGTGAAGAAAAATGTTTCAAAGCCTTGGCCTAGTGGGATCCAAGCAGGCCTTCAGTTCACCAAATCCTTTTTCCCATCTTTATTTGACTTTCAGAGACTGTCTGTCTGCTTCTGTCTCTCTGCTTCTCAAATAAATAGAGAAAAGAAAAAAAAAAACCGTGGTTAACGTTTTAGTTTAGATAAGAACTATTTTCATTTTACAGCTTCACTTTAGTTTTGTACTTTCCATGTTTATGTGTCTGTACCTTCAAGATGGAAGTATAAGGATAATGGGGCATCCTCAGTTCCTATAGGAAGATTTAGTGATGTTCATGAAGTTATTTCTGAAGAGAGGTCAGTGCACACAGAGTTCAAGGGAGGGTGTGTGAAGAACAGCTCTAGCCTGGCTTTAAGTCAGGGGCTGTAGACTCAGGTTCACTCAGGGCCTTCAGAGGGGTGAGTCTAAACCAGTGATGCGATAGAGAATGGTGGGGACTGTGGCAAACTCAAGAGCTTCCTGCTGTGTGTAAGGGAGGCTGGTGATGCTCAGCTCTGGCTGGTGACTGCCTTGCGGGAATAGGGGGCAGTGTGGAGAGCGTCCATCCCACAAGGGGTGTTGAACATAATGACAGGAGTTTTAAATGTGATCTCTCCCATTGTAAATGTTAGCAAAATAATTCAAATAAAACACTGGTGCCAAAAAAATGCACCTGTCAGTGGCCTCCCAGCTTATAGCCTTTCCCAGGATTGGGCAACATCTGGCCCAGGGGCCATATAAGGCCTACAAAATCATTTGGTCTGGCAGGCCCAGGCAACCACAGGTGGGATTCTAAATGCAATTAACCTATAGCAGGATAAGTTTTTCTTTAAAGATTTATTTTATTTATTTGAAAGATGGAGTTACAGAGGCAGAGAGAGAGAGAGAGAGAGAGGTCTTCCATCTGCTGGTTCGCTCCCCAAATGGCCACAGTGGCTGGAGCTGAGCTGATCCGAAGCAGCTAGGTTGGTGCTGAGTTCAAGGGATTGTTTGCCTCCCACCATTTATTTGCCTGCAAGGGAGAGGAGTTGGGGGTGGTCAGTTAGGCTGTGGCTTTGTCCTTTAGAAGAAGGGGCTGCCGGTGACCATTGCCCCCTTTGCTTGCAGCTATGTCTCTGTCTTTGGATGCATTCCTTGAATAAAATCTAGCCAGCCCCATTTTCACCTTGTAGTGAGCTGCTGCTCCAGGACATACTCAGTGCAACTGGAACTGAAATGCAGGGCAGCATTCTAGGTCTCCTAGCAGAAGCAGTTTCTGCTATGTACTAATTTGCTAAGTGTAGAATTAGGCAGACCCGATCAGAATGCATCCTCAAGAAAGACTCAGACCCTGGAAAGCACACAGACATCATCCTGCCGCTTTAGGATTCTGTGGCCCTTCTTAGGGAGCAGCTCCAGGCAGGGGTGGAGCCTTGCCTGGAACCCTGTGCAGGGCTCTGAGTGGCCCCCAGCGCTTCATTAAGAGCCGAGTAGATCCAGCTGGTGTCTCTGAAGACAGCTGTTGTGGAGAGTGCAGATCGCACATTGCTAGCAACCTCATCTGAGTAGGTCCCTGATGGCGTGCGGAGGGGATGGTTTGTTCAAGGCTCCTGGCTCTGCTGGGAGATGAAGCCTGCAGAGTGAAACCTGTCTGTCTGTATGTCTCCTTCCTTGTTTTCCTCCCCTCTCCCTCCCTCTCTTTCCACGTTCTTAGGTACTTTGTGCTGAAGATTTCTGCAGGCATTGAATACCCCGGCGAGATCAGGTGGCCACTAGCCTTCTGCTTGTTCCTGGCATGGGTCATTGTGTACGCGTCCCTGGCTAAAGGAATCAAGACTTCGGGAAAAGTAAGCACTTGGAAGAGGAAGCTCTGGGACACGCGGCTAAATCGTGGAGCAGGCAAAAAGAGCACCTGGAAGAGAGCCAGGGGCCGTGGGTGCTAATTCCGATCTGCTCCCCGTAGCTGTGGAGCCGTGAGCGAGTGCCTTTAGTCTTATCTGTAAAATGGGGATAAGCATGCCTTCCCTACAGGGCTGTTTTAAGGACTGAGTGACGCAAATGTAAGCAGAGCTCCTGAGATGTGGTGGGAGTGCTGTTCTGGGGTCACTTTCTCTCTTTTCCTCCCAGAGGCTTGCTGACTTTTGCCTCCTGTTCTGGCTACCAGGTCAGTTCTGGCTTCTGCCATGGAGCTGGATAAGGATCAAAAGTTTGAAGTGGATTTCTTCTCACTCCTGATTACGATGTTCTTGGCCATCTGTGGCCCTCTTCCAGCCCCCAGTCCAACATTCTTCCATCCCAGGAACTCCTGGCACTAAAGGAAGCCGGCTCCTGCCAGTGAGACTTTGGCTGAGAGCATACTTGGCTCCTCTTGCGGAGCCATCATTCAGCTGGGCCCTGTGGGGACGATGGGACTCCCTCTCCATGCCCAGATCCAAGCCTCAGAAAGCAAGGGGTCCAGGAAGTGTCACGCCACACTGGGCATGGTTGAAAGGGTCTTGCTGACTTGTCCCTGTCTCCTGCTGCCTTAGGGAAAAACCCACTGAAGAGCTAACCAAACACTGTGATGATGACCTAGGCTATGTCATCATGGCAACAGGCATTTTGCATGTTTCAGGGTAAAAATTAGGAAGAGGATGTAATGGTGGACTCTGAGGCCGTAGGCTATGGAGTTGAGGTCTGGTCCAGGTGTTCCAGCCAGGGCTTCCTGGGGGTTACATTGCTACCACCCAACTTCAGAAGGATCTGGTCCCCTGAGGAGGCTTATCTGTGTACCTCCCATCCCGGCGTGCTGCCCATCCCCCACAAGGCACCCAAATCTGGCACCCGTTAGCCACAGAGACCAATCTGTTTTCTCTGCGGGCACCTGGGGGTGCTCATGGATGCCTTTCGGTTGCAGCTATTTCTGTCTATCCATGTCATCTGATGCCACGGGGACTTGGATGGTGGCCTCTGCAGAGCTGTCAGGATTAGTACGCACCTTAAGTCATACCATGTGAGCAGGAGCAGCCATATAGAGAGAGCCAGACTGGGAGCTGGGACACCTGGATTCTTGACTGAGGGGACCTGTCACGGGGTTTGCGGTAGAAGGACATCCATCTCTACTTGGGCCATGGAATTTGGCCGAGCATCTGGTTTTCTCTTAGCTTTTACTTGTTTTTGGGTGATAAATGAACAGTCGATTTTCTTCTCTTAGCTATTTCGGGAGTCCTCAGCTCCTGCACTTCTAAAGGGAGGGCGGCTGTATCGTATTGAGGCCGTCAGCTTCCAGCTTTATTCTGTTGGAGCACTCGCTGGGAGAGCTGGGGGTTTGCTTTCACTCTCTGATCCAAGTTTCCCCTTCTCTAAAATGAAAGCTGGGTTTAAGTGACCCCCCCCCCCCAACAATTTTGCTGGCTCAGAATGAGTACTGTGAGACTGCAATGATTGTTTTTCTTATTTTTTTAGATTTTATTTATTATTTGAAAAGCAGGCACACACACACACACACACACAGATATCTTTCACCTGCTGGTTCATTCCACCAAGTGTCCACAACAGTGAGGGCCCGCCCAGGATGAAATCAGGAGCCTGGAGCTCTGGACTTCCCATGTGGGTGGCAGGGATCCAAGTTCTTGAGTCATTACCTGGTATCTCAGAATGTGCATTGGAAGAGGCTGGAGCATAAATGGAGGAGGGCCTCAAACCCAGACTCTTCAATATGGGATGCAGGTGTCCTAAGCAGTATCTTAAGCACTGCGCCAAATGCTTGCTCCTGGATCAACTGTTTCTCTAGGTTCATAGGGAGATAGGAAACTGTTAATGTGACTTACGTTGATGGCTAGTGTGGCCTGAGGTTTTCTGGAGTTCCTGCCTTCTATGACTTGGAACTCATCCTGGATGGACATTGCATTGTCTTCATGAGGCCCAGCTAAGTCATTGCTTAGCAAGATGAGTTAGGTGTTTGCTCAGCTAAATCTCACTGGCAGGACTGTTCCCTATGGCTAGGGTTGGAGAAGAGGTGACTTCAACTGTGATCTGGTGGACAGGCTAGGGGGTGTGACAGGCAGGGGAAGAGGCAAGCATGGAGGGTGAGAATGCAGCCTTGTTGATGACAAAGGAAGAATGCCCTGATGGTTTCAGAGTTGGACCGATCTGAGCTTAAATTTTAGCTTTGTCACTTTCTAATTGTGCAACTCTGACCAAGCTATTTAACCTTGACTCTTATTTTTTAATCTGTAAATTTGGGTAATAATAAATACCTTATAGGGTTGCTACAAGGATTAGGCGATGCATGTAAAATACATGGCCTATGATCAGTTCTTAATTACTAATAACTTTTAATTCTCATTATAAGGAATGCCTGATGTGTTGAGTGGGTATTGTGCCACTCTGACATTTTAAAGGCATTGACTTTGTTGGGGAGATGTGAAGAGAAAGGAAGCTTTGTTGAATATGTTGTGCCAGACACTGTACTAATTGCTTTCACAGGACGTTAGGTCATTTAATCTTCACCAGCACAGGATAGATAGTAACATTTACTTTCCTTTTACAGACTGAGAGCTGAGGCTCCTTACAGTAGAGTAAACTGCCTGACATCACAAAGCTTTTAGCTGGCAGTGGTGGGATTCTATCCCAGGTCTGTCTTGCTTTAAAGTCTAGACTCTTTCCACTCCATGACATTCTTAATTCATAATTAGCTAAGGAGCGGCTCTCAGGAATAGATGGGAATGCGGAATTGCTGAGTCATCACTCATACATCATGTGGATAGTGACTTCGGACTCCTGCCCTCCTGCTGGGTCTCTGCTGTCTTTAGCTGCATGACTTGGAGCAAGTCACAAGATGCTTCAGAGATTTGTTTTCCTCGTTTGCAAAATCAGGTGTTAGAATAAATATTCTTTAAGATTCCGTTTAGCACTATTAGTCTATACTTTTTGGAATGGCATTATATCCAGTTCTTTCCTCTGATTTAGAATTAGAATTGAATCCTTGCAGCTCGATTTTACAGGCTTTCTGAAATCAAAGTTTTGAGTAGCCCTTCTGCTCACTTAGCTCTTGGCTTCATTGAGAACAGTTTTCAATCAGAAATCAATTTTTTAAAATGAAGAATACCACCATAAATAATAAATCACAATTTATTATCCTGCCCTGGGCTGTATAGGTCGTAATCATGGAACATTATTTGGGAGCCAAGGTGAAGGCATAACTAAAGTTGATTGTTATGACAAACGCCGTGGTGATTGAGATTCCGGGAACACTGCTTTCCATGCAATAGAGTACCTCCTCTTGTTTAGGTCCCAAGGACACAGAATGCCCTGTAGCTTCGTCTGAGACTGAGGCTTTTGAGCAGCTAGAATTCCAGAAGTAGGGGGACCAGCAGGCAGCCTTAAGGTCAGATGTAGCTCACCTGACCGCAGGGACTGCTCTGCCTGAGAGTTATGGCGACAAAGCAAAGCTAACCTAATTAGCTAGCACGGGCTGGCGGGGCACTGCCACCTGTTCAGGTCTCCTGTTGTGAGGAAGATGCTGCGAGGTGTCAGGCCAAGAGGCTCAGATCAGCTAGTCATTGTCACTCCTGCCAAGTATAATTCATTACTGTTCAAGTTTAATTCTTCTGACAGTAAATTCTGAAACAGGGGCATTCTGAAGCTTTCCTGACATAGGGGGACTAGCTGTGCAGGGAGCCTCGGTGCACTCCTGACTGACATTTGAGGCCTCACCAGGATTTATGAACCAAACTGTCAGCCCTCTCAGTTCACCAGAGTCACCGTCTACAAAGTGAATGCATCAGCTGCACACTGGGGCCAGCACAAGCAAGTGTTTAAGGTACAAAATTTAAGGAGACACTCACTCTCACGTCCCTATGAGTGAAGGAGCAGTACGTGAAAGTGGGTGTCTCCTTAAATTTTGCACCCTTGGTGCTTCATTTGCCTCACCCTCATTCTGGCCTTCCCACAAACGTTTTTGATTGTTCAGCCCATAGATTCAGTATTCATAGATTGAATGGCTTTGGAGTGAGAAAGCTCCGATGGTCAGGGGTGAGCAAGGCTGTTCCTTAGTCTCCCCCACCTCCTGCTATCTTAGTGGGGAAGTCGAATGTTTAGGTCACGCTCTGCCCTTGTAGCATGCCTGTCTCTCTGCTCCAGCCCACAGCTGAGAGGCCAGCCCAGAGTGAAATGATTTTCCCCAGAGATGTCAGATGACCTTGGCTCTCCGTGGTGGGGCTGAATTTTCCCTTCAGGTTTTAAGGGAAAGAGAGAAGCAGACAGGGCAGAAATAGGAGGCAGCTGGTTATCCCTCCTCTTCCTGCAGTCTCTGCAGAGGCAAGTTCTTTGGGACCAGGAGAGAGGAGAGGCTGCTGGCCCCCCAGGGCAGGGAAGCAGCACCCTGGTCCATGGAGAGGAAAGGAGGCAAGCCCATCCTTGAGGATGCCACCAGAAAGAAGGGGTTTGGTGTTGAGTGTTAGGGCTTAGAGGCAGAAGGCACTCCTCTGTTTCAGTGAGTGTACCTCTGTTATTCACCTTATTCCTTCATTCCCACTTTGTTTCACCTCCTTTACATTGTACTTGTCCCTTAAGATTTAGCCCACATGCCATCTGCATGAATCTCTTAGGAAGCTCTCAGGTTGGGCACAATGCCCCTCCTGGGACTTTGGCTGTATTCTGTGTGTGATTGTGCTTGGCCCACTATTCAGCATCATCTCTGGGTATTCTAGACTATGGGTTCCCTTCATCTTTATCTATTTATTGCCTGGCATAGCACCCAGCTCACTGGAGGCCTTTGAAAAATGCTTAGTGAACATAGCAGCATATATGGCAACTGTGCTAGGTGTTGTCCATACATTAGCTCATTTAATCTTCATGATTTGTTTATAAGAAGAGTGCCTTTGTCCCCAGGTCACAGATGCAGAAATTTCTGTTCTGAGAGTATAAGTGCTGTCCAAGGTCACACAGTTACTCAGTGCCAGGGGTTCAGTGTTATTTGAATTCAAATGTATTGAACATCATGGCCTTTTTATGTCATCCCGCATCCTCACTTAGGGTGTCTGTATAAGCAAGGATGGGAGCTTAAGCTAAAAAGATTAATTTCTAGTGGTGGGACATGGGGTATCCATCGGGGTGGGAGTTGGGGGGGAGGAGAGCGGCATGAAGCCTCCCCCACCCTGTGGTTCCTCCAGGACTTGTCCTTGCAGTGATGGGGAAGGTGGCATCTCCTCCAGCCCTCTGGCTGTAGGCTGACTTGTTCCACAACTGCAGATCTCCTCCTCAGAGTTTTATTTCTTGCTCTCTCAGTCTTGCCTTTGGACCCAGAGCCCTGTCTGTGTCTCCAGGCCTGGCAGCTTGATGGGCTCACCATCAAGAGCAGGTGCAGGGGACAATCCCCCCTGCCCTCCCCCTGCCCCGCTCCGAGTGACTCTCTCTGGCACAGGCCTGTCCCGCAGGTCTGCTCACTCAGCCTTCTGCCTATGGCTTCCTAGGTGGTGTACTTCACGGCCACATTCCCGTACGTCGTGCTCGTGATACTGCTCATCCGAGGAGTCACCCTGCCCGGAGCTGGAGCTGGGATCTGGTACTTCATCACACCCAAGTGGGAGAAACTCACGGATGCCACGGTGGGCTTATTATTGCGTTTGTGATGGGCCTCATGTGATGGGGGTGGAGCTGGTTTGTCAGCTCTCAGGGGTGGGCCCCACACTGGAACATTGTTCAGCAGGAGGGGTGAGACCTCCTCCCCAGGGAGACTCTCTGTTTGCTTCTATAGGGTCCTGGTGGCCTCAGTTCGTGAAGCACTCAGGAAACATAGAATGAGAAGGGAGTAGCTGAGGGTTTTCAGATTCCTGGAATAATTGTCTCAGGAAGACTGAGAATGAAGGATGAAATCCCTCCAATAGCTTTTGGCCATCTCACCCCACTTATCCGTTACAAGTTATAGAGCGTCGGAAGTGGAGTTTTGCTGGTTGGAAAATGACAGTACTCAGATAAACCACAAGCAAGCTCACTTTAAAAGGCTCGGATGCATTTGAATACTTCTTGCACACCCACAGAGCCCCAGCACACACGTGGGCTTTGTCTTTGCAGATTCTGCCCCTGTTATATCTTACTCTGAAATCCACAATCCAACAACCTTCCAATGCGGGGATCATTATTTAATGAGAAGTAAATTTTCTCATTGTAAAGAAAACAAACTTTCCAGGACATTTAAGAATATGTAGGATTGAGTTTGATTGTACATTACAATTTTCAGATAACAGCACCTTAAAAAAAAAAAAGATAAGTTATTTTACTCAGTCAAAAACCAGCTGAGTGGCCTGATAATGTCATCGTGACCCAGGCTTCTGTCTGACATTGTCAAGGAATAGCTCTCAAATAGCTCCTGGAGCTCTAGCCATCACACCCGTATTCCAGGTGGCACAAAGATGTGAGGGTGGAGGCAGATCTAGGCACACACCCCACCTCTTTTTTTAAAAAATTATTTGATTTATTTGAAAGGTAGTGTGATGGGGGGGAGAGGGAAGGAGGAAGGGAGGAAAGGAGAGACAGAGAGAGAGAGAGAGAGAGAGAGAGAGAGATTTTCACTTACTGGTTTACTCCTCAAATGCCTGCAATGCCTGTGGCCCGGCCAATCCAAAGCCAGGAGCCAGGAACTCTGTCTAGGTCTCCCACATGGGTAGCAGGGGCCCTAATACTTGGGTCATCTTTCAGGGCCTATATCTTCCAGGTGTATTAGCAGGGGAGCTATGTTGGAAGTGGAGTAGCCAGGACTGAAACCAGTGCTCCAGTATGGGATGTTGGCCCAGGCTGGATCCACTGAGCCACAACACCATCCACCCTTACTCCCTTTTAAAAAGGAGAAACATCAGAAGTAGTATGTAGTATGTAACATTTTATTTTCACACAGTCAGCCAGAAATGAAGTCATATGATTATCTTCCCTTAGCTGTATCTCCCCTGGAGGTGGCTGCCTTTTTTTTTTTTTTTTTTTAGATTTATTTTATTTATTTGAAAGAGTTTTAAAGAGGTAGAGACAGAGAGGTCTTCCATCTGCTGGTTCACTCCCCAAATGGCCGCAATGGCTGGAGCTGAGCTGATCCAAAGTCAGGAGCCAGAAGCCCCCTCTGGGTTTCCCACGTGGGTTTAGGGGCCCAAGGATTTGGGCCCCATCCTCTGCTGCTTTCCCAGGCATACCAGCAGGGAGCTGGATCGGAAGTGGAGCAGCCAGGACTCAAGTGGGCACCCATATGGGATGCTGACACTGCAGGCCTGGTTTTAACCTTCTGTACCATAGTGTCACCCCCTAGATGCCTGTTTTAATGTTGAGCCCGGCACAGACTTTTCTAGTACACACTTGAAGCTTTTCTCTGCAAATGCTAAGCACAATTTGAACACAAGATTTAATTTGTAAAGGGGATGGGAGATCTACCACATAAATCATATCAGACTATAGCCCAATCAAGGGGTCGGTGCTGTGGCATAGCAGGTAAAGCTGCCGCCTGCAGTTCCAGCATTCCATATGGACGCCTGTTCAGGTCCTGGCTGCTCCACTTCCAATCCAGCTCTCTGCTATGGCCTGGGAAAGCAGTAGAAGATGGCCCAAGTTCTTGGGCCTCTATACCCATATGGGAGACCCAGAAGAAGCTCCTGGCTCTTGGCTTCGGATTGGCGCAGCTCCGGCCATTGTGGCTAGTTGGGGGGTGAACCAGCGGATAGAAGTCCTCTCTCTCTCTATCTCTTTCTCTGCTTCTCCTCTCTCTGTGTAACTTTGACTCTCAAATAAATAAATAAATCTTTTTTAAAAAAGCCAATCAAAAGGAGTCACCTAAAAAAATCAGGATGTGGTGCTGGTCCCTGCTGCTGGAGCTAAAGGATTTCAGGGGCTAAAGAATTTCAGATTTTTCATAGCATTGTTGGAGTCCCTAGGATGTCAGCTAAAATGTGGTTTTAATTTTGTATCCACGAATTTATTTTGCTGTTGTACATTTTTCTTTAGACTATATCAGCCTGTTTGGTTTTACATGTGAGGAAGTGTAAGCATGAGGTGTGTGTACAGTTTATCAAGTTCTGCACCTGTGGTTAGAGGGAATGAAGGAATCTTCAGGTACTGCCTCTTTAGCACAAGTGAGGTGTGTCTCTGATTTCTCTGGGTGCCCATAGTCACCTTGCCCTGTCATTCACCTGGGAAGATGATGGACAGGTGACACGCCCCTTTCCGTCTCCTTCAGTAACCTTGACTCTCCTCCTTTCTCCTCTTAGGTGTGGAAAGATGCTGCCACTCAGATTTTCTTCTCCTTATCTGCTGCCTGGGGAGGTCTGATCACTCTTTCCTCTTACAACAAATTCCACAACAACTGTTACAGGTATGCGGAGGCATTTCCAAGACCCAGAGGTCGCTGGTGAGCAGAAACTTGGTCAGAGGACAGAGAACTGAATTATCAGATATCTGAGGTCAGATCCAGACTTCTCCCAAGGAAGAGTAGGGATTTGCCCCTGGCCTAGGAGATGTCACCTGTTAAGGACCAGCCACTGGCTTCTGGCCCCCCCATATGCTGCTGACTCTGGCACATGGTGGGGACTCAGGGATGTTTCCAGGATGGACTTGAGACTCTCTGAAGATCACTGTGCAGCCATCTGAATCCTCCAGGGGGTCACTTGTGAGCCACCTACTCCATGGATGCCATCACCTGGCAGTCATTTATAAAGTGTGGTCATCTGTCACTTGACACATTTTTCAAGAGATAGTTTGTAATTAAGGCCGAGTAGTACAGTGCAAACAGCACCTTAGATTTAGCTACACTTGCATTTGATCGTGACCTTACTATTTCCTGAAACCCAGACATAGGCAAGATATTTCAGTTCTCTGAGCCTCTGTTTTCTAATCTGTAAAATGCAGATTATGATATTTTGTGAGGGGTAAGAGAGGATGTATGCGAGGTCCTCAGAGAGATATTTTGCACATTTATTACTCAACAATGGCAGATGCCATTATTATTATTAATTATTATTGAAAGTGAGTGAAATATTTTGTGAACAAAGGGAGAGACAGAAAGATTCAAAACCCACCCCTGTCCTCAGTTACTTAGAATGGAGGTGAAGAGGTATAGGATCCCTGGGGTGGTTTCTGGTTCAGGTTGTCAGTCACCCTCACAAAGCACTATAGGCTTAGTGAACACAAATGTACTCCCCTTTAAGAAAGGATATGGGAAAGGGAGCAGAGACCCAAACACAGCAATAGGGCAGTGGAGACGTCTGTCACCTAAACTCACCTGGGACCCGAGCTCTTCACGTTGCCCAGTGGGGACTAAAGCCTGGTGCTGAGGGCCACTGTGGGTGCTGCTCATATCCTAGCGGGAGAAGCCCCTTGGCTTCGTACCTCTGGTCACCTGGAAGCTAGAAGGGGTCAGCCCAGCTACTATTTTCAGGGTCACAGTTGCTCATACGTTACAGGTCATGCATATAAAGTGAGCTCAGGGTCATGCTTGAGTCAATGTGACTGTAGTCGCCACACAAGAATCTGTTTATTTACTTGGTATTCAAGGAACTTGGACTAAGGCTCAAACTTTCCTCACACATCTCTGCAACTGAGGAAGAGACTCAGTTAGCTATGACCCGGGGTGTCTGGGTGGCCTCCGGGGGACAGTGGTCCTGGGCCATACGCCAGGAGGTGCAGTGGAGAAGGGAGCATGGTTCAGGTGGCAGACAGAGCTGCAGGCGGGGATGAGTGGGGATGAGTGTGGTAGGCGTATGTGGAAGGAACAGGTGGGTGGGATTGGAGCAGAAGGTGTGTGCATGTGGGGCTGGGTGGAAATGGACCCACGGATACCCGACGGGAAAGAGTCTTTGTATTAGTTTTCGCTGGCTGCCCTAACAAGTACACAAACTGGCTGCTTTCAGTAGTGGAAATTCATCGTTTCACAATTCAGGCCACAGGTCCAAGCTCAAGGTGTTGCCTTCTCCATGTGTCTCACGTGGTCATCTCTCTGTAGGTAGCTGTATCCTGATCTCCTCCTCTTATAAAAGACACCAATTATGTTGGATTAGAACCCAAACTAATGGCCTTGTTTTAACTTAATTGCCTTTAAAAATACCTGATTTCCAAATATACCCTGAAATACTAGGAATTAGAACTTCAGCACATGAATTTTTAGGGGGCGCAAGTGTTGGGAGAAGACCCACTGTTCAGCTATTAACAACCTTGAGTGCCAGGAAAAGGTATTTTTTGAATTCTTGATCCCAGCTGCTCATTAACTGTTGACCTGAATCATTGTGAATGCTGTCCAAAGGTGAAGCTTTGCCACGTGCTTTATCCGAAATGAGGCTGTGTAGCATGGCAGAGAGAAGCCGTTCTGACCCCTTATTAGCATGCACCTTCTCTGGGCCACAGTTTCCTTGTCAGTAAACTAGGGAGTCAGACAGGGTGGGTCGTTCACTGCGGATTTGCTGTGTGCTGGGCCCTGGGCTTGCAGGCACCAGCTCCTCTGTCCTCACAACAACCTGTGAGGCAGGTAGGGCTGTTGTAGCCATTTTAAACCACAGTGCAGAGGAAATGACCTGCTCAGGGTTGTGCTGCTAACCAGGAGGAGAAAACCAGGACTCTGTGTAGACCTGCAGCCCCCCACCCAGCTGTGACCTCACATCTGAGTCCAGGATGGCTGTTCAGGGCCAGCCTGGGAGATTCCAGCCTTAACCTTAGGCTGCCCTCATACCTTGGTGGCATTTCCCTGTCCCTACACATGGTTCCTCTCACATGCACCTTCAGACCCCATCTTCTTAATTTCTGCTCTGAGAGACAGATTTTCCCCAGTTCTTGATGATGACTTAGTCCCTCTGGGTTGCTATAAAAAACTTTCTTTAGACTGGGTAAGCTATAAACAACAGAAGTGCATTGCTCACAGCTCTGGAGGCTGGGAAGCCCAAGATAGAGGTGCCAGCGTGCTCAGTGTCTGGTGAGGCCTCACTTTGCTTCAAAGATAGTGCCTTCTCTGTCTATCTCTGTGTCTTGCAAATAAACAGAATTAAAAACGGGATGTGCGTTTGGCCTGGTGCTAAGACTCCCTCCGGGACACTGGCATCCCATATCAGAGTGCCTGGCTTGGAGTCCTGGCTCTGCTTGCACCTCCAGCTTCCTGCTAATGTGCACACCGAGAGTCAGTGGTAATGGCTCAAGTAGTTAGGTCACTGCCACCCACTTAGGAGACCTGGATTGAGTTCCTGGCTCTCAGTTTCAGCCTGGCCCAGCCCTGGCCATTGTGGGAGTGAACTAGTACATGGCAGTTCTCTGACTCTGTCTGTCTCAGAAAAAGACACAGTGATACCTTGGTGCTGTGTTGCTGTGTCTTCAGGTGCTGGAAGAGGCGAGCTTGTTCACTTAGCCGCTCTTAGAAGGGCACTGATCCCACTCATGAGGACAGATGGGGATTATGTTTCAGCATGTGAATTTTGGGGGACACATTCAGACCATAGTGGATGAGTGGGGAACCATTTCAGTAGCATTGGTGCCAGAGCTTGGATCCAGTGGCCCTGGATCAGGACATTTAGGAAAGGTTTTTGAGCCTTTTGGTGCTTTGTAAAAGCCCAGGGACATCTGTGGTTAGGACTGCTGTTTCTTCCCTTGGGTGGACATACGTTTAGAAATGGAGGTGTTTAGTGGAAAGAAGTGGTCATCAAAGAAGGAGGTACTTTTCTCTGAAGGGAGGAGTGAACTCCCACTTTGTTTATGGCCTTGTCTAAGTACTGACAGAGTTTGTGGATTCCAAAGGCTTCCATAGCCTAGACAGCTCATGTCAAGAGCCTATGGATCACTGATGACATACATAAGAGTGTTAATTGTTAAATTAACAACAAGAGTTACTGTGCACTAACCTCCCATGCAGGACCTCTGTCCTCAAAGAGTTGTATTATAATTATGTCTAAGTGCTCGCAAAAGATGTATCATTCTTGGGTGCTTTTTTAAAGTTAATTAAGTTTCTAAAAAAAAAAAGTGAAATTAATTTCAAGATGCAATGACTTTGAACAGCCCTTGTCTCCACTGTTGAACAGTTTTTGTGTGTGTGTGTGCAAATTGTTGAACTCTTTACTTAGTATGGAGTTAGTCTTCTGTGTGCAGTTAATTGAAAAATGGATCTTAGTGGAGAATGGGACTGGGAATGGGAGAGGGAAGAGGAGGAGGGGTGGGAGTGTGGGTGGGAGGGTGGGTATGGTGGGAAGAAACACTGTATTCCTAAAGTTGTACTTATGAAACACATGAAGTTTATATTCCTTAAATAAAAGGTTCTTTAGGAAAAAAAAATAAAAGGGTGGAATAAAATCTGAAAAAAAAATAAAGAAATGGAGGTACACATCTTTTTTGGGGGGGTATACATCTTTGTACTTGGATACACACGAGCACGCCTGGCTGTCCTTCCCCTTGTTCCTTCCTGCTCATATAAAATGCATCTAATAGCAAATTCTGGTCTTTTCTTGCAGGGACACTCTGATTGTCACCTGCACCAACAGTGCCACGAGCATTTTTGCTGGCTTCGTCATCTTTTCCGTTATCGGCTTCATGGCCAACGAACGCAAAGTCAACATTGAGAACGTGGCAGACCAAGGTATGGGGCAGTTGTCACCTGCTGTTGCCAGGCAGGCTTGGGCTCGTCTGCCAAGTTCCTAATTTATGTTTCGGTGGGAAGTTGGTCTTCGGAACAGGATGGGGGAGGCAGGAGCCCAGCTGCCCCTTTACAGAGGGGGCCCAGGACGGCTCAGGTGGAAAGCTCACTGCAGGGTTAGAGACGGCCCTTCCCTAGCCAGACGGAGCCCTTTGAAAGTTCCCTTTCTTCTTCCTTCTTTTCTTCCTCTCTCCTTGCTCCTCTTAATTCTGCTCCAGCCCGAGAAAGGTCTATACCCACTACTCCTGTTAGGTGTGAGTGGAGGATTCATTAGGCAAGCCAGTGCCGGTGGAGCTGATGTCGGCACAGCCTGCTGGGGGACGGCAGTCCTCACAGAAGACCCTGTAGAAACCGAGCACAACTGCTTAATGAGCACCGACTTCAGCGAGGCGTTTTCCTTGCAAAGCACTTTCTTGATTGTTAGGTCAAATGTGCGCAGGGCCTTCTGCTTACTTAGCAGTGCCAACCTGCAGTTTTCTCTCCAGTGGGGGGAAAGCTTGGAGGTTGGTGGATGGGAGGGGGCACATGCAGTAAATGTTTACTCTCTACCCAGTGATCCCTGTATTACTGGCTACCACTTGTAGGGTCCTTTTCTGTTAAAAAGGGCTTTCATTTTTATCTCATTTAATCCACACTGCCGGAACAGCATCGGCAGGGAGAGTTTTCGAGATTTTTACTGCAGTCTTGATTTCCACCCAGCCTGGTTTGCTGACCGAGGGTCTTCGTTGTGATCATGGCTTATCATTATAATCTCATTCTCTAATCTGACATTTCTGGGATGCCGGGGTGCGGGGACTGAGCCAGGTACCGTGGGACGTGACGGTGGGCCCTAGACGCCCAGAAGTCTATCTGGGAAGGGCTTGTCTGGAATGTATCTTCCTTTAAGGAGCTCATTCAGATAATGGCTGAGAGAATTGAGCCCTAGAAATGTCACCTTTTAGTGGACTGCCGATCTCCCCAGGGATAATTAATTGCTGCTGCAGCTTGTGCAGATAGGACCCCAAAGAGTTAAAGAGCCAGCATGTTCCAGGGGTGTAATTATCTCTCCCTGGAGAGAGTGCGAAGCCCTGAGGGAGGTTTGGTTCTGCAGCAGTGCACTAAATTAGAGAGCCCGGGAGCTGAGCGAATGTTTTTCCCTGGTTGAGAATTCTCAACTCCCTGGGAGGCAGCGAGGGAAAGAGAGGTTGAGAAGACTTTGTCCTCTGGGTGCCCCAGCCACCTCCAGGTGTCCTGTAACCTGGTTTTCTCCAGGGCGGTAGCTGAAGCACGCAGGTTCTGCCCTACTTTCCAGCAGATGGGAGGCGCCCGCTGCTTTTCGTAATGTTCCTGACATGTTGGGGACCAGTGGCCAAGCTGCCAGGGACAGGGATTCCTGAGAGCAGGTCACGTAGGTGACTGCTCTGAACGCCTTCCTGCCCCAGGAGGGGGCTTCAGGGGCTGAAATGTAAACAGAATTTTGTTTATTTTGTATGTAAAAAGCAGCCACCGATTGCCTGGGATTCGCTCTGAAATTTCCCTTGTCCAGTATTTCTTTCTCTTTCTTTGATTTAACAGAAGAGTATACCTCACAGGTTCCAACTGCTTAATATTGGCCTTGGCACAGGGACACTAGGCTCCTTTCCCCAAGGAGAGAGAGCCTGGCCCAGGAGACTTTGTAGAACCTGGGGAAAGGTTCTCTTGCTCATCTAAACTCACATATATTCCTTTTTTAAAAAATAAATGCTTGTCTATATTTCATATATTTGAAAGGCCAGGGCTGGACCAGGCTTAAGCCAGGAGCCTGGAACCCCATCCAGGTCTCCATTGTGGGTGGCAGAGGCCCAAGTTTCTGAGCCATCATTCCCTACCTCCCAGGATGCATTAGCAGGAAGCTGGATCAAAAGCAAAGTAGCTGGAACTTGAACTGGCAATCTGAGGTGGGATTCAGGTGATACAGCTGCTTCTTAACCCACTGTGCCACAATGCCCACCCCTCACGTATGTTCTTTTTTTTTTTTTTTTTAAAAAAAGATTTATTTATTTTGCTTGAAAGTCAGAGTTACATGGAGAGAGAAGAGGCAAAGAGAGAGAAAGGGGAGGGAGTCGTCTACCTGCTGGTTCATTCCCCAGATGGTCGCAATGGCCAGAGCTGTGCAGATCCAAAGCCAGGAGCCAGGAGCTTCTTCCGGGTCTCCCACGCGGGTGCAGGGGCCCAAGGACTTGGACCATCCTCTACTGCTCTCCCAGGCCATAGTAGACAGCTGGATTGGAAGTGGAACAGCCAGGTCTTGAACTGGCACCCATATGGGATGCCAGCACCAAAGGTGGCGGCTTTACCCACTACACCACAGTGCTGGCCCCTTTTTCTTTTTCTTTTTCTTTTTTTTTTAAGTTTTTTAAATCCAGAGTTTTTACTTAACACACATTTTTAAAAATATTTATTTATTTATTTGAAAATCAGAGTTACACAGAGGAGAGGCAGAGAGAGAGAGAGAGAGAGAGAGAGTCTTTAATCTGCTGGTTCACTCTCCAATTGGCCACAACTGCTGGAGCTGCGCTGATCTGAAGCCAGGAGCCAGGATTTTTTTCCGGGTCTCCCATGTGGGTGCAGGGGCCCAAGGACTTAGGCCATCTTTTGCTGCTTTCCCAGGCTGTAGCAAAGAGCTGGATTGGAAGTAGGGCAGCTGGGTCTTGAACCGGTGCCCATAAGGGATGCCAGCACTGCAGGCCAGGGCATTAACCTGCTGTGCCACAGCGCTGGCCCCACGTATGTTCTTATATGAGCTTCATAGTCTTGTTTCTTTCTGTCTAATAGAGGCTCTGCAGAATAGAGGATAGAGATTTGGGGTCAGGCTTGCATTAAATCCCAGGCCCATCTCCTCCTTGCAACATTAACACATAATCATATAGTACATTACATTTAATTTTTTTAATTTAAAGGCAAAGAGACAGGGACACACAGCAAGCAAAAAGAGAGAGAGAGAGAGAGAGAGAGACAGAGAGACAGAGAGACAGAGTAGATATTGAGGTGGAGAGACAGAGATTGTTCATCTGCTGGTTTACTTTCCAAATGCCCAAAGCAGCCAGGGCTCAACCCAGGTCTCCCCTTGGGTGCCAGGGTCCTGAGTACTTGAGCCAACATCTGCTGTCCCTCAGGGTCTACATTAGCAGGAAGTTGGAGGCAAAAGCAGAGCCAGGACTTGGACGCAGGTACTCCCATATGGGAGGAGGGCATCCCAAGTACTGTCTTAGACTACAAAATGCCCACCCCAGACGTACAGTACATTTTGATGACCCAACGTTGGTAATTAAAGTTTGACCTTTAGTCAAAAAGAGGTTCTATTTCATGACCTATGCCTGTTCTATTTAGTGTGCCACTCCTTCTAGGGAAGCATTTCTGTCAGAATTATCGCCCCAACCGTTGGCCATATCAGAGTTTGTAGGGGCTGAGGTAGGATTGGAGAAGCGGCTAGCTGTCCTCTGCTTTTTCAATAGGCTTGGGGAAGGTGAGGTGTTCTCACAGATCTACTTCAGAAATGTAGCTTCCCGGGAAATCTGTCTTCAGAACTATTTCCCAAACATCTGTATTGCTATCTCTAGATCACTGGCTCATTTTCAAAACTTGATCTGAAGCCTTAAAAAGATGTTTTTCTTTATTTAAAAAATTTTTTTCGGAATAATATTTCAGTTTTAGATTTATGAAACAAAATTGTGAAGTAGTAGTACAAAATATACTGAACACAAAAATATACTGAGATACAATAACAGCTGAATAACATTTCAGTTTTAAATTTACAGAACAAAAATTTTGAGCTGGTAATACAAAAATTCCCATATATCCCTCACCTGATTTTCCCTATTACAAAGCTATAGTAATTAAACCATGGTGGCCGGCGCCGCAGCTCAATAGGCTAATCCTCTGCCTGTGGCATTGGCACCCTGGGTTCTAGCCCCGGTCAGGGCGCCGGATTCTGTCCCGGTTGCTCCTCTTCCAGGCCAGCTCTCTGCTGTGGCCCAGGAGTGCAGTGGAAGATGGCCCAAGTGCTTGGGCCCTGCGCCTGCATGGGAGACCAGGAGAAGCACCTGGCTCCTGGTTTTGGAGCTGTGTGGTGTGCCGGCCACGGCAGCCATTGGGGGGTGAACCAATGGAAAAGGAAGGTCTTTCTCTCTGTCTCTCTCTCTCTCACTGTCCACTCTGCCTGTCAAAAAAGGAAAAAAAAAAAACCAAACCCATGGTACTGGCATAAAAACCAGCACATTCATCAATAGAACAGAATAGAGAGCCCAGAAATTAACCCATGTATTTTAGAGCCAACTGAATTTTGGCAAAGATGCCAAGAACATACATTGGGGAAAGGATAGTCTTTTCAATAATGGTTCTGGTAAAACTGGATGTAAATATGTAGAAGAATGAAATTAGATCCCTACTTGTCTCCATTTACAAAAATCAACTCAAGGGGCCGGCACTGTGGCCCAGCAGGTTAATGCCCTGGCCTGAAGCACTGGCATCCCATATGGGCGCTGGTTCTAGTCCCGGCTGCTCCTCTTCCAACCCAGCTCTCTGCTGTGACCTGGGAAAGCAGTAGAAGGTGGCCCAAGTCCTTGGGCCCCTGCACCCACGTGGGAGACCCGGAAGAAGCTCCTGGCTTCGGATCGGCACAGCTCTGGCCATTGCGGCCATCCTGGGAGTGAACCATCAGATGGAAGACCTCTCTCTCTCTCTGCCTCTCCTCTCTCTGTGTAACTCTGACTTTCAAATAAATAAATAAATCTTTAAAACAAATCAACTCAAGATAGATCAAAGACCTAAATGAAAGACTGAGAAGTATGGACTTGCTAGAAGAAAACATAGGGGAAACACTTCAAGCTGTTGGTGTAGGTGATGACTTCTTGGGAAAGTTGCTTTCCTAATAGCAGGTGGAGTGGCTTAGATCAGGGGTATATCAACACAAATGTGTGTTTGTTATTTAGAGTTCCAAGGTACAGGTTGGTAACTCAATGAATCAGGCCACTAGGGAGTACTGCCCTGGTTCCCTTGCACCCTAATAGTTAGGGACTCTGCAGAGCAAAATGAACACTTTCTATCAAGACCGACCGCCTACCTCCTTGCAGCCACCAATCACCTGGATCCCAACTGTTCTTCCCCAAAGCACAGGAATTCAGGTCAAGTATTCTCAGAGAACTCATCCCATTTGTAATAGGTATCTCAGCAGAGTGGCTGCCCCACCTACATATTGCATTCATCAGAGCCCCTTGCCATGTCTTTAGTGGTGCATAGCATAGGGGAGGCCCTCACTATGGACTCTCTGGTGGTCCTGCCCACGTTGCTGACATGTGGAGCTCTTGCATGGAAGGAGTGATAACGGTTCCTAGTAGTCCAGGCACACTCTAAGCCCTTTACTTGCACTAGCACACTTAATTCTCATAGGAATTCCAGGAATGTAGCTACCTGTTATTACCCCTGTTGCAGGCATACGGAAGCTAAGGTTTGCCAAAGAGAACAAGTGACTCACTTATGGTCCCATAGCTAGTAGGAGGCAGTTTGTTGGGGAATGGAGCCTGTACTCTAGCCCTGGACTGTGCTGCCTCCCAGTGGGAGAAGAGACGGGAGTTGGCTTCCATCAGACAGACCACGTATTCTTTTCAATATTCCACAGTATTATTCGCTGATGATTTGACTCCCCAGCCTCCTTGGCTAAGGCAGAGTCAGCGGTAACATAGCTTGAAATGACACTTCCACCTGGGCACTTGAGGGAGGCGGCTAAAATCGAAGCAGGGAAAATATTTTGAAATTACTCTTCTCCTCTAAAAAAGCAAAAAAGCCCGAAGTGTCAGCTGCAGTTAAAGTGAGCAGCTGCGGTCCTCTGGTATTAGCCATTCAAGACCTTCCTGTCAGCTTTATGGGCCCGACTCTCGCCAGAACTCTGAACCGGCTTTCTTGTTGTTCTGCATTGGAGACCCATTCGAACTGTGGTTTAGTACAGACTTTTCTCTTTATGGCTCACATAGGGAACCTTCAGAGGCTGTCTCTACACTCTGTTCAATAAATGCAAAAGCAGGGGCATCTTAGGAATTCTAGGCTTTACATTTTAAATACCCCAAGGCCCCAGGCAACATTAGGAACTAACAGCCTGATGAATTCAGGTTTTAAAAGGTGCTGTTATGCTTGAGTCATGAAAGCTCCAGGTGCTGAGATTTCTGGTTTCCACACGTGCACCAGCTGTGGATTACTCTTGTGCCCACATTCACTTGTCTCTGCCCATTACCATTTAGTTGTCTACTTACAAGGAAATTCACATCTGCCACCTTTAATCATCTTTGGTTGTAGCAGCCTTCCCTGTGAGGCTGTGAGTCTGTGAGGCAGGTTGGAGTGGCTGGCTCATACCAGAGACACCTGCAGCTCTGAAGCCCCTACCAAGACAACATGCCATATTCCTTAGGAAAACCTGGCTCCAACCTCCAACATCCAAGTCCACTCACAATAAAAGCCAACGTTCTGTGGGAGCTGATGGTATGTGAGGCACAGGACTCAGTGTTTCACCTGTGTTTTCTCACGTCTTCCTCCTAACCACATGGTAAAGAATGATGTAATCTCCATTGGACAGAGGGGCGAAATCGAGGCCTACCAAAATTAAACAGCACATCTAGGGTTGCACAGCTGGTAGCTAATGAAGTCTGGATTTAGGCCAGATCCGTCTGACTCTTGGGGCTTAAGCCATCTTAACCTCCCACCATGTTTGCCCTTTCTCACCCAACTAATTACCAGGGGACTGATACAGCTTTATGTTTAGCAGGCAGGGCGAGATCCTGGAAGTGTTGAGGAGATCCGTGTTTGGTGTGACTGGCTTCTCCTGGAGAGCTGAGTAGGAGGAGGACGGGGAGGCATAATGCCGTTCTGGTCTTCTCACCCTTAGAGCAGAGGTTCTCAGCCTCCACACTGTTGACATTCTGGATCATTCTTTGCTGCAAGAGGCACTGTTGGGTGTTTACCAGTGGCCCTGGGCTCTGCTCACTGGGCACCAGCAACCACACAACCCTGCCCCAGCTTTGCAGATCAGAATGTCTGCAGGCAGTGCCAATTATCCCTGGGCGCCAAAGTTAACCTTGGCCGAGAACCACTGCTCTGGAGGGGAATTCTGTTCTACCTCAGCTCATCCAATAAAAAATGGAGCTTCTCATATTATCAGCACGGGGTGCAGCCTGGCCTGAGTTGAGTTGAGTTGGTGCTGAGTCTGTTTCTGTGCCTTTCTTCTAAGTTACTCTAGGTGTAGACCTGATTCTTCTGGCCTTTCCCTTCACAGAGCTGAAGATCTGATTGGGGAAATGAGTGGAGATAAGGAAAAAAACTAACAAACAGTGGAAGCAACATAGACTATGTGATAACCCAGGAACTCAGTACAGTGAAGGCTTTGTGGGCTCTGGGAAGAGAGGCCTTGACCTGAGCTTGTCTGCAAACTCTTGTCTCATTCCTTCCAGGGCCAGGCATTGCATTTGTGGTTTACCCAGAGGCCCTAACCAGGCTGCCCCTCTCTCCATTCTGGGCCATCATCTTTTTCCTGATGCTCCTCACTCTTGGACTTGACACTATGGTGAGCCCCTCCCCCCCTCAATCCCTGTCCCAGGAGTCTTCTGAAGACTTCCTTCCCTGGGTCCTGGGTCCAGCATGCAGCAGAAGGGTGGGCTTAGAGGTAACCAAACATTTCCACATTGCCCCTGAATGGTGCTGGGATGATGAGTGTCATGCCTAGGACTCGGGATAACCTTGCATTTCTGGGGGCTCGTGAGATGGAGCAGAGGAGCCATGCTCTCTGTCCTTCCCTCGTGTTCTTTGGGTCATGGTTTAGTGCTTTCTGCTTTGGTGTCATTTTTGCAAAGCAACTTCTTTGGGGCTGGATAAGGCAGAATAATATGAAGTCAATTTGAGGGAAATTGCTGTGGAGCTGACACTACCACAAATCATGCTGACAGGTGCGCAGAGTTTAGTCGTTGGGTGTAAAGAAGGCTTTTCCTGAAGTAGAAGATCAAATGTGAGGTAAACGGGAGGGGAGGAATTTACATCTCATGAATACAAAGTGAAGCTTAAAATGTCTTGATGGAGGAACATGAGTGCCGTCTCTGGGGGCTGGCAGTACCGTTTCTAAAGCTCACATCCTGCTTGGGTTGGATCACTGGGAGGCAGTTCAGACCCATCCTGGCAATGTCACTCTAACCCCAAAGTCAAATACAAATACAGCTTTCCATGGGGGGACAAGTAAAGGGATTTCTCCTGCCTCCTGGGTGGGACTGTTTGACTCAGCGGTCTGTTTCCTGACATCATTCCAGTTTGCCACCATTGAGACCATAGTGACTTCCATCTCCGACGAGTTCCCCAAGTACCTGCGCACACACAAGCCAGTCTTTACGCTGGGCTGTTGTATTTGTTTCTTCATCATGGGCTTTCCAATGATCACACAGGTAAGCTGCCTACTGCGTGCAGGTGTGAGTGGGAGCGGGTGGGAGGCGCATGGCCGTCTGTCCTTTACCCTTAGTTCCCAGAACTCATAATGTCAACAGATCACTGTCATTTCCACGTGCATGACACCAGTTCATTAGGGATTTTGACCACAGAGGGAACTATGTCAGCTGGCTACTGGTAGATGCTTCTAGCAACTTCATAATTGAGTTGTAGTCTTCCCGAGCCAACAAGGCAGATGTGTCCTACTTTAAGCATGTGGAAACTGTTAAAGTCCAAGTGAACTAACCAGACAGATTCCCAGGTGATTACTTGCCACATATGTCTAGGCCACTTGAGTTCCTGCTAGTCCTAAGTGACTTGGTAAATCGAATGTTCACTCTCTTAGTATATACATTGTTTGCTCTGTGACCTTCAGCTAGTTCACCACTCTGGGTCATGGTTTCTTCATCTGTAAAATGAGGGATTGGACTGAGATGGCCTCTAAGCCTCATCTATTGTAGGGAGACTTACAACGTAAGGTAGAGATACATGGGGACGTGTGGGGAATGTCCAGACATATCTAAAGGTCATATAAAAGTCAGTTAAATGCAGACACATGGGTGAATTTCCCCTTCTTTAAAGGGATACAAAGAAACCTGGTTGCTTTCAGATATACATCTTCTGATGTCGACTTTTGCCTTAGAAGAATAAGATGTTAAATCACTTTTGTGTTTGTCCTATTGATTAATTCAGAGTCTGTCAAAGGCTGCTTTGCTAACATGACAAGGACCAGGTGTATGTTGCTGCTGCTGACAGCACAGGAGACCCTTTGGCTCCTGTTTGCACCTGAGTCTTGTTGACATGGGAGGATTGGCTGTTTGGAGTGGGAAGACAAGCCCAGCTCCAGGGCTTTTGTTGGAGCTGCTTTGTTGTTTGCTTCATTTAAAAATATTTAATTCATACAAAATACAAATTTATGGGGTTCAGTGTGACACACACACATATGATGTGTAATAATCAGATCAGGTTAATTGGCATAGCCATCATCTCAAACTTTTGTTGTTTCTTTATGTAGAAACTTTTTTAAAAATTTGAATTTAGGGGCTGGTGCTGTAGTGTAGCGGGTTAAGCCAGCATTCCATATGGGCACCAGTTCAAGACCTGGCTGCTCCACTTCCTATCCAGCTCTGTACTATGGCCTGGGAAAGCAGTAGAAGATGGCCCAAATCCTTGGGCCCCTGCACCCATGTTGGAGACCCAGAAGAAGCTCCTGGCTCCTGGTTTCGGATTGGCGCAGCTCCAGCTGTTGAGGCCATTTGGGGAGTGAACCAGTGGATGGAAGACCCCTCTCTCTCTGCTTCTCCTCTGTTTAAAAAATTTTAAATTTATTTGAAAGGCAGAGTTACACAGAGAGAGAGAGAGACAGGCAGGGAAGGAGGAGAGAGAGAGAGAGAGCAAGCGAGCCAGGCTGAAGCCAGGAGCCCGAAACCTTTTCTGGGTCTCCGGTGTGGGTGCAGGGCCCAAGTCCTTGGGCCATCCTCCCCTGCCTTCCCAGGTGCATTAGCAGGGAGCTGGATAGGAAGTGGTACAGTCAGTCTTGAACCAGCGCCCATATGAGATGTTGGTGTCATAGGCAGTGGCTTAACCTGCTACACTACAATGCCAGTCCCTTTATGGCAACTTTCAAAATCCTCTCCACTAGCTATTTGGAAGTGCAACTAATTGTTGTCATTCACAGTTAGCTGATTGTGCTGCAGAATGTAGAAGTACTTTTTCCCACTCAGTGTACCTGTTGAGCATCCAGGGTCACGTGCTGCTGGTTGTTTCTCCCTCCCGCTAGGGTGGAATTTACATGTTTCAGCTTGTGGACACCTATGCTGCCTCCTACGCACTCGTCATCATCGCCATTTTTGAGCTCGTGGGAATCTCCTATGTGTACGGTAAGGGAGTCTCCATGGCTGCTGCTGAGTAGAACTTTCACGTTGGTAACAGTTTCATGGGAAGCAGATTTCCCATTTTAATGAGACACTGAGAGAATTTAACTGCAGTGACTTAGGAAGCACGAGAGAGCTGCACTTGGACTTCCGAGCTTGTCTCAGGACTCTTGCCCAGATTCGACACAGGGACAAGAGGCTGATGGTGAATACGAGAAAGTCCTAGTGGCACACCTTCGGGTTGGGTCTGTCTTGGGGACAGGTAATGCCTGTGGACAGTGGCCGGGGGAGGGAGGGAGGAGGCGGGGAAGAAGGCTACCTGAAGTGGCTTCATGGTCTTCATAGCTGCAGTTCCATGTCGCCTGAGGTGAGGGGTTCCTTTGCACCTGGTCTTTGGGTGCTAGAGTGTAACAGAAACCACTTGGCTCACAGATGCTTAGGAAACTTTACTATCACTAAGGAAACCTGTGATATAATATCTCAACCTCAGATTTTCTCAGTAATAAACTTCCAGTTCCCTTACAAGTTAATCTTCCTACCTTCACTATAGCAACTTGCGTCCTATAATCAGCAGGTCCATTTTCAAGTACACCAGGAATGGTGATGCCATCTTTGCCCACTGTGCAGATGTGTTTGTGATGAGGTTTACCAGGGGAGCTCCTGGCTCCTAGTATGCCCTACCATTCAGCACAGGGGAACCTTACTGGATTTAAGGCACTTCTGACTTCTTTGTATCTTGAGGTCTACTCAGGACTGTGCTGAGTCTAAGGACCACCATAGCAAATATCAGAGAAGTGAACATTTCCAATTCAGGTGATCTAACTGAACTTCAAACACAAAAGAGATAGCAACATGCTCTATGCTAAAAAGGAATGTGGACTATCCCTTGGAATTCAGAATATTAGAGTGGCAAATGCATGCAATTTCTGGAACCCAAAAGAAGGTTCAGGCCAGAGGGATCTTCAAAGCTCTTTCATTTAAACTTGGGGCCAACATAGCTTACCCTGACTGCCAGGTATCCTTGATACACATGTCTTGACTCCAGTGTGGTTGTTAGCCTCTCACTCAACATATTCACAATGGCTTCTTACTTTCCTGGAAACCTCATGAAAGTGGAAGGCAATTGGCAGGAATCATGGTGTAAGAAGGAAATCACCTGTGAAAACTTGAGCACCCAGAAGCAGCAAAATACCAGTCATTTTTGAGTGTTTGTGAAAGAGGAATTTGTATCAGGTTGGAGATCACATTCCTGTTGGAGGGAGAGTTTAGTTCCTGGCAAGAGGAGTGGGCAGCCATGCCAGATTCCCCATTGAGATCAAAGACCAAGCTGTCAGCACTGTTGGCTGGTAACAGCCTGGACCCTGCGGTGATGTTGCGACTGAAGATCTGATGTCAGAGTAAGAGTGAGGCTTCAAAGTACTTTCTACCTGAGCAGAGAACGGCAGAAATCCACCACAGCGAGTCTTAACTTCCTGCCCAGGTACCCAAGGCCTTGCAAGGAGAGGCAAGGAGCAGTCTCTAAGAAAAACTCAGCCCCTGCTGGGTTCACATGGAAGTTGAGGTCTGCAGATGGTATATTGGCACAAAGTGAGGGATGTGCTTCTTTTTCACACTGGCCCAAATGCAGGTAGCTGTTATCATTTATCTCCTCTGTTACTTCTGTCCTAACTGCTGATTGCCACGAAAGATATATTTGCACAGTTCTTTGCTGTAAAACAGGGCTGTCCACTGCGGTTTAAAAGGTCATTAATACAGAAGCTTTTTAACATTTCTATTTTTAAAACTTAAACAGCTTCTCTATTACTACTCCTCCATGTAAATCCAGTAGTAGATGTCTCTTTTTTAAAGGAAAAAATAAATTTTGAGTGCTTCACTACCTGGGCTATTCTAATCTTCCTGAGACTGTCCAGAAAATTTGGTCTCTAGGAGTGCTGGTGTTGGGCCAGCCTCCGGAATCATCCGTCTGACTCTGTGAGGGGCCCAGGTTGAACTTGACTTCTGCACTGTCAGATGTGAATTTGAACCTCTGAGTTGGATCTGGCTGGAATTCTAAGTAGATCTCAGGAAGAAATAGTTGAGCTAAGCTAACATAGTTGCTACAAAGGAAAAGAAAAGCTTAGACAGATATGTAAATTATACCCCAGAGGACAGTGCATTCTTTATTGAGTTGATGTTGCCCCAAACCAGTGTAAAGTTGGTTAAAGACAACTTTGAACCTGTGAAGAATGAAAATGAACCTGATTGATTTTGTGTGTTACCTTCCTGAATATATAAAAAAGCAAATGGATTGTGTGTTCTTCTTGTTTCTAATAATCTGTAGATTCTAGATGATGTCATTCAAACATTTGCAATGGGTTGGGTACAGTTTCAAGTTTACCAGTAGACTGAAATAGCAGATTGAAGTTCTCAGGTCAGCATGCCCCAAAGGTCAATAGCTGGGTTTGAGGCATGTAGGTTTAAAAGTGGGGGTCACTGTAGTGCAGGAGAAATTCCTTTAGGAGACATTTTTCCTAGGCAGAGTCACTTTGAAAAAGTGATTTTCCTTTCCCTGGGAGCCAATGCAGGGGCCTTCTGGCTGGGGAAAAGATGAGATTGTACAGCCACCACTGAACTCTCCTGCTGGCTAACTTCCTGGCTTTGTGTTGCACGTTTCCCCAAGATCTTGCTATGTGATGTGGTCTTGCTGTATTTTCCAGTTCAGGCAGCTGCTTGTTTCATCTCCCACTCCCTAGATGACCTCCACATCCTTGGGAGGGATGTCAGATGGACACCAGGCGATGGCTTTACTTGATGGCGTATGTCTGTCTCCAGTTCTTGTCATCCTGCTGGCTGAACTTGGCAAGTTTTCATAAGTATAAAACAAAATAGAAAAGCAAAGCAAGCAAGAAAACAAAAGGTTCCTGCAGAATTCTATATATTCAGGCTTACTTTTTCCTCCATGACCCCTATTCCTGAGTTCCATTTTTACTTTTTTTTTTTTTTTGCTCCCTTTTCTGGGTGTAGAGTTTCCTAGCTCACTAAACATTAGGAGTAAGAAGCTCCACTCCATCCCTACAAGGGTGCTTTAAACAGTTTGTGGAAGATGGAACTAAAAGGTTAATGTATTTTGGTACAAAAAAAATGTTTCATTCTATGCATAACTTTTTCATAGTACACATTTTCCATGAACTTTTTGAAGACCTTTTATAACACACACATATGAACATGTGTAAATAAATGGACAATAATTTATTAAGTGCTTACTTTATGCCCTGTGTACTCCTGATGGAAAAATTAAGCTTGAATTTGTAGGGTTCTGGGGGGGGGGAAGTTTTTGTTTATTTTGTTTGATTTTTGTTGTTTTATTTTTCTTTTGATTTAAAAATCTTTGCTGGGTTTAGTGAGCAAGATAGGCAACAAGAGCTCAAGACAGACATATTCCATCATGTGAAAGCCATTGCTATGTGAGCTAAACACACTTACCGGGATGTGCAGACGGTAGGATTGTTTTCCTGCAGCCACAGAGCTTGCCAAGTGGCTACCAAGGAAGAGCAAACACATTTAAAACACAGAGAAGAAGGTCAGTGCTAAGCTGTGTATCCCTGGCTATAAGCCCTTTTGCAGCTCACAGATAAGGAGAGCCAAGGTAGTTAGGAAAATCTCAAGAAGGTGGCATCTCAAAGATAAAAATGTATAAAGGAGACAGACACTCAGATCTAGGGTTTGTTAAACTGAGTTGATTGCCAACCAAAAGCAGGAAAACCTGTCTACACAGAGGATCTGGCTCTCAGGGACTGGCCTTTACATGAAATGTAAAAGAATAACTTGGTGATTTACTTGTAAATAGGTACATACAGAATTGGAGATATACTTTATAGGATTTAGAACAAAATGAAAATGTTGAGTCCCTTGTTAAAAAATGATTAAGAATTTCGAGTTGATGGCCAGAGAGCATTAAGTCTGGTTTCTCTTCTGAGCACGGGACCCTGTGTGTCTTCACTGCTCACATGGCCAGGATGCAAGCCCTGGCTGGACACACAAGGAGGGAGAGCAGTCTCTATAAGGACTATGTCCAGACCAAGGGCAAGCATGTGATTTGCAAAGGAAACAGCCAAAGTTGCCCGGGCACAGTGATTGGTTGGTTGAAGCAAGTCCTTGAATGCCTAATTCAGGATCAGCTGGCTATATGGGGATTGTCGCAGGCTGTTTTCTGAGACTCAGATGTGTTTGTTGCGTCTAGCAGAGTAGCCATGCGTTCACCATTTTAGTCTTTCCCTTACCTTGCTGTTTTTCTTCTTGTTCAGACTAGTCTTTGAGATGCAGATGTTCAGATCCTATTTGGGGCCTCACGTCTTGCTGTCTTACTTCTCCAATCTAAAGGTCATAAAATAGGCAAGTCTCTTGCACATGCTCAAAACTCCCTGAACATTTCTTTTCTCATAAATTAGGCATTGGACACAAGAAGGATTTGGATCAGTGGAAAGCACAGAACAGGCAAGGGAAGCCATGTCAACAAAAGCCAGGGATAATAACCATTGACTAGGAAGGGACTCAGAGGGTGACTTGGAGGTGAGCTGGGGAATTGCAAGGCTGGGGCTGACTGGGAGCTGGAGCAGGCTAGAGACTCAAGGGATTGGAGAACTCAGGGAGCAGGAGGGTTGCCCAGTGGCTCCCACCTGGTGCTTCTGAGGTGCATCTACAGGACCAACCTGCAAGTTGGCGAAACACACACAGCAGTAATAGGATCTGGAGCCTATCTAGGCAGAGACCTGTGCCCTGAGACTTTGTGTAAGGTCCAGGGAGGGAGATGACTTTGCAGAGCCTGAACTGGCCCTGTAAGCCAAGTCTTTTCATAGTGAATCCCAGGACTGCTCATCTGATTTAGGCTGGCTCTTGCTGGAAACTGAATGTGTGCCATCCATACCTTCCCAAATCTGGAGGTCCAGCTCATTGTTCTGGGGAAGGTTGGCACTTAGAATGTGATCCCTCTTCTCATAGTGGAGCCTGTCTCTGTGGATTCACCAGGTCTGACCTTGAGTCCTATCATATCAGTGCCCCCAGTCAACCTAGACACTCCTGTGTCTTGTAGTTGGCTTGGTGGAGAGGAACAGCTTGACAACAAGATTGATCCTGATAACGGAAGTTCTTAGATTTCCTTTTTTAAAAAAGAACTGAGGCCTGTTCTCATTGTTTTGATATGTTTTTAAGGGAGTCGGCTTTGACTTCTATTTTTTTTAAGATTTATTTATTTATTTGAAAGTCAAAGTTACAGAGAAGGAGAGGCAGAGGCAGAGGCAGAGAGAGAGAGAGAGAGAGAGAGAGATCTCCCATGCACTGGTTCACTCCTCAAATGGCTGCAAATGGCCAGAGCTGGGACCATCCAAAGCCAGGAGCCAGGAGCTTCTTCCAGATCTCCCACGTGGGTGCAGGGACCCAAGGACTTGGGCCATTTTCTACTGCTTTCCCAGGCCATAAGCAGGGTGGTGGATCAGAAGAGGAGCATCCAGGACTTGAATCAGTGCCCATATGGGATGCTGGCCACTGACTTCTATTTCTTTGGTTTGGGCTCCTAACTTATGCCCCAGGCAATGCAATTTCCAGAGGTCATTCATTTGAAAGTATTTGATAAGATACTAAAGGAAAAAAAAAAAAAAACACAAGGAAAACAATGGAAAGATGGGGAAGTCTCCTGCTCAAAGCATGCAGTTCTTGCTTGTAGACCCAGAGAACCAACTGGGAACCTGCTTATGTCATGGATTCATTTCTCTGGGACCGTTCGTGGAGCTCATATGGCTCAGCAGCCCCAATAAACCAACAAAGGCTCAGGGAGAACACTTTACCTGAGATCACCCAGGGAGTTAGAGGCAGAACAGGGTTTAACTCTTGCATCCTAACTTCTGGTGCTATGCTGTTTTCACTGCACATCTGTGACTGACCACTAATAGAATTAAATTAGAGTTGTAGCCTGAGAAATGTTCTAATTTTTAAAAATATTTTATTTATTTATTTATGAGTTACAGACACACAGAGAGGGAAAGACAGAGAGGAAGGTCTTCCATCCACTGGTTCACTCCCCAAATGGCCACAATGGCTGGAGCTGGGCTGATCTGAAGTGAGGAACTTCTTCTGGATCTCCCATGTGGGTGCAGGGGCCCAATCACTTGGGCCATCTTCTGCTGCTTTCCCAGGCCATAGCAGTGAGCTGGATTGGAAGAGGAACAGTGGGACAGGAATTGGTGCCCAAATGGGGTGCTGGCTCATCAGGCAGAGGCCTAACCTACTATGCCACAATGCCCGCCGCAGAGAAATTTTAGAGTGAGCTGAGAAAAGTCCTTAGTGAATCTATGACTTATTCCCAGCACAGGCTACTGAGTCTTTTTAAAAAATTGTTTGTTTACTTATTTATTTGAAAAACAGCATGCAGCAGAGAGTGCGAGCAAGAGAGAGCTCTTCCATCCACTGATACACTCCCCAAATGGCTGCAACAGCCAGGAGCCTGGAACGCCACCTTGGTCTTCTTTGTGAGTGGCAGGGTTCCAGACACTTGGGCCATCTTCTGTTGTCTACCCAGACACTTTAGCAGGGAGCTGGATTGGAAGTGGAGCAGCCGGGACTCAACTGGCACTCCCATATGGGATGCTGGTTCGGCAAGCGTAGGCGTTACCCACTGTGCCACAATACTGCTGTGGCTATGAATCTTGACTGTTCTCTATGATGTCGTTGAGGTGGTCTGGAGGTGCATAGTAATGAGACTTGGCTGATGCTCTTGCACTGAGCTTGGAGGAAGTAGAAGCCAATGTCAGGAGCTGAGGCCCATGAAGGTTCTCAGGATCCTTTATTTTGATAGCAGTGGCTGAGTGAATTTTCAAGGTGAATTTTAAAATTGAGGCTTAACATATACACAAGGAGCATATGTCTTTTTATTATAAATTTGTATTGGATAGTGAAAGATTATAAATGTGTATGTGTGTATATATATGTATACAATGATGCTACAATGGATGTATAGAATGTAGAATGACTAAATTAAGCTATTTAGTGTATCTATCACCTCAAATACTTGCTGTTTATTTCTCCTGCCTAACTGCAACATTCCACCCTCTGCCCAGCTTCACTTGTGCTCCCACTCCCCAGCCTCTGGGACTGCCATTCTGCCCTCTGCTTTTCTGAGTGACTTTTTAAGATTCCACACATAAGAGAGCACATGCAGGATTTGTCATTTCTGTGCTTAGCATTTCACTTAGCATAATGCCCTCCAGGTCCATCAATGTTGTTGCAGGCGACATGATTTCCCTCTTATAAAGCTAAGTATAGCGTTCATTGTGTATAAATCCATATTTTCTTTATTGTTCATCAATTGGTGACTGCTTAGATTGACTCCTTAACTTGGCCATTATGAATAATGCTGCAATAAACATGGGAGTATAGATTATCCCTTGGAAATATTGATTTCAAATCCTTTGGATACATACCCAATGGGATTGCTGTGTCATAAGGTAACTATTTTTAGTTTTTCAAGGCATCTCCATTCTATTTCCCATGATGGTGCATTGATTTACATTCCAGCCAGCAGGGTCCTAGGGCTTCCATTTTTCTACAAGAAGCACATGTCTGGAGTACACAGCTCTATGAGTTTTCACTTCCCAAAAAATGAGCACCGGGGTCAATGTATAGAACCTTTACAGGGCCATTTTTTTTTTTTTAAAGGACTGAATTGTTTATTCTCCTTCCTGGCGGGAATACCACAATCTCTGAGTCTTACTCTGTATGAGATTGTCTTTTCACATTGCATCCATCCTTCCCCACTTCCACATGAGAACACAGGACCAGGAGACAGATCGTCTGGACCCGGGTGGGGTGGTGAAGGGCCACTTCTCAGGTGAAGGTGGACAAGGAGGTGAGAGCAGAAAGGTCAGAGGTGGTAACTGAAGGCATGACGAGGAGCACCTAAGGAATGAATATACCTGCTGCTCGTGGGTCAAAGAGCAAAAAACCCAGAAACCCAAGGGGCTGAGAGAGCCGGAGAATGGGAGGAGCAAGAGGAGCAAAAGGCCCAGGTGTAGACAGAAAGCCTGAGGATGTGTGCAATAGAGGAGCTGTCAGAGGAATGGCAGCTTTCCCTGGAGGTACCTCAGACCCCCTGGACCGGCAGGGTGCCACTTTTCACATTAACCACTCAGAGCATGAAGGAATGATGAAAATTTAAGCTGAGTCTGTGTTTAACTCAGAATTGCTGACTACAAAGGAGCTTGGACTTAAGGGGTCGATATCCCATCATTCTGAGAAGGCCACACTTCTGATAAGCTCAGGAAAGAATACAAAAGCTGCCTGGCTCTAAAGCATTCCTCCTTTCCTTTCAAAGAGAGGTTTCCAGACCTCCCTAGATGAACTGAGTGCAGGAATGGTAGCTACGTAACTATCTCCTCTGCATTTTACTTTAGTGACTTGATGAGTGTCCTCGAATACTATCATCCTTTGAGTTCCAAAAAGTGTGCAGTGCACACTTGGAATTTATGCTCATTTTTGCCTGCCATTGTTATCTTACGTGAATTGGAGATCAATGGACTCACTGAAGAGTGTCTTTGGGAGACACCAATGTACAGTGGCTCTTGCTCTGTGTCACAAGGACTTTGTAATATTCTCTGCTGTGACCTCCTCTTTTTCACCTTTTTTTAAAAAAATGTTATTTAAAGTTTCCAAACTTCATGCATTTCATATGTACAAATTTAGGAACATAGTGATTCTTCCCATCTTCCCCTACCTCTTGCCCATACCCCCTCCCTTCTATGTCCTCCCTCTCCTATTCCCATTCTTATTTTTTTACAGAGACCTATCTTCAGTTAACTTTATGCTCATAAGGTTAATCCTACACTAAGGAAAGAGTTCAACAAATAGTATAAAGGGAAAAAAATACTGTTCCTTAACAATCGAGACAAGATGATGTTCAAAACCATTGCGTCTCAAAGAGTGTTGACCTCCATCTTTACTGGTTTTGCAGAGCTGTCTCTAAGCGTGTGAGTCCATGTCAGAAGACAGCTGTGTCTGTGAATATGCCAGGCTGCAGCAGAGTTCACACAAGGGGTTTGGCTGGAACTGAGCTTTTTAGATGTCACCACAGGCTGACATTTCTGAACCTCACTGCAGAGAGTATTTAATAACTATTTAAATGTTCAATTTGCCCTACTCTTCCTGGCAGCAAGTCATTTGTCTGATGGGTTCCTGCATAATAGGGGTCGTGTTGACACCAGGCTGGGGCCATCCCTGGCCAATGGCGCTTGAATGAGGAGTTTTAGAGCCTGCCCCCTGCCCTGCCCTCAGCCCCTGCCACTTCATCTCATACTCTGCTTGTCTCTTTGCAGGCTTGCAAAGATTTTGTGAGGATATAGAGATGATGATTGGATTCCAGCCCAACATTTTCTGGAAAGTCTGCTGGGCGTTTGTAACTCCAACAATTCTGACCGTAAGGAAAGCATGCTTTCTTGTGCACATAACACCTGGGATGTGTATGCTTTACATTTGAACACAGTGTGTGCGTGAATGTGAGCTGGGGAGGTAGGTGGGGGTGAGTATTGTTTTTGTCTTTCAGATGAAGAAACAGGTTCAGAGAACAGAAATGATTTGCTGAACGGTGTCTAGCTGGCCAGATGCAGAGCTGGGACTCACACATAGGTCTTTGGAGTGTTTCTATTGTATCTGTCTGTCTCATGTACTGAAAATGGGTAAAAATCAGCCCATGGTTCTCGTGTGCTGACCACATTGCCGGCCTGTTTGTAGTGTGTTTGTGTGTCCCCTCATGGCTCTTTCACAGCAGCTCTGCAAGGCTGGCATTGCGACCGTCTCCACTGTACCAATGAGGAAACTGAAGCCCAGGGATTTTGTGGCTTGCTGCTGTCGCACCCCTAATGATTAGCCTGGATTTGAGCTCAGGCACTCCAGAACTCTAGAACCCATGCTCTTAAACACTACTCAATCTAGGGACTCAGCAACTAATATTACATTAATTGGACATTTAATATTCATTTTTATTGCTTTTGAGAACTATCTTGTTATTCTCAAGAGTGATGATGACATTTTAGGAGCACCTGTCATTCATCTTTTTAACAACTGGAGCCTTTCATGTGCCAGTAGACCCGCACAGGGACTTACAATCACATCTTGCTTCCTTTATCATTGTGCCAAAAGCTGCTAGTTTTACCCCTCTCCCCCTTCAAGCACAGTAATTGATGAGGATCTTGCCTTCCTCTCATGCCTTCTGGTTTGTGGGTATCATGTTGGCAAGGCTGGAGGAAGGTGACAGTAATTCCTGATGGACCCAGTAGGTGGCACTAGAAACCAGATTAACACCCCTGTTTTGCTACCTGGTACCAGCTTTGCTAAAGGAAGACAGGGTGAAAGTACAATTTCAAAGAAAAACTGTATTCTCTTCTTGTTTTTAAAAACAGCCATAGAAATAATTTTAATCAAAATGGCTCCGTTTCTTTATGAGAAGCTGGAGGTTCTGACAGACAAACCATTCTTCATTGATCTGCCGCTGCATCTCCAACAGCAGCTGGATCCCTAATTGTAGAGGTTGCAATTTGTCTGAGAAGCCTCACTAGATTTGGGGCATGAGCGTTTTTGAAAAGGATGAAGATAAGCACCGGTCTACTCAGTTCAAGGCTGAAATGTTTACGAAGAATTCGGATTTAGCCAATTGGTGGGAAGAGACGTTCTGTTAGCAGAGACTGACCTGGAACGGTCCCCATCTCTGCCTCACCTTTCATTTAATCCCAGTTACTGCTACACATGATTTATGCTTGTCTGAAATCAAAGCTAGAATGAATTCTAGATTCTACCTTCTTTTCTTCCTGTCCTAGAAGAGACTAAGTGTGGAAGAATTTTATCCTGTTTTAGAGAGTCCTATCACTAGTGATAATCAGCACTACTGTTTGTTGAGTGGTGCCATGAGGCAGGCACTTTTTGTGACTGTTGTCTCTCAAGTTTAGGACCACGCTGCCTGGTGGATAATTCTTCCCCCCATTTTACAGATGTGTGCGCTGAGGCTTGTAAAGGTGAAGGAACTTGCCCAAGGCCACAAGGCTTGTAGGTGGCAGAGCCAAAATTTGAATCTGGGGCTGTCCAGGCTTCACCCTTCTGCTGTGCTTTCATTGACTTAGATTATATATGTCACATCAGGTAGTTGTGTAGAAGTTGTAGAACATATCCTGAACCGCATTCCCTTTCCGCATTGTTCAGGAGCTAGGGGTGATCAAAACCGGCCAATTCCATTGTTATGAACCACTGAGTTCACAGACTTTTCTTTGGCTGTCATCAACAAATGGTCAGGGTGCACCTGCTTCAGTGGCAAATTATTATCTCTGTTGATTGGGCCCATGAGAGGGTTTTATCAAAGCCGACCTGGCAGAGGGAAATTTATGGCACAGAACAAGTTGCACTGAGAAGGTTAGTATGATATTTGTGTGACTGGAAATGGGCATCAAAGGACCAAGTCCAACACTTACTTTTTGCCATTTGCCCTTCTGTAAAATGTATTTTTGTGATGTGCTGGAATAGGTTAAGATTATGAGTTTAAATTACTTCAGAGCCCCTAAAATAAAATTGATCATTTTTATATGTGCCTGTGTGGATTTATAGAGCTATAAATATTCTCCATGCAATTATTGTATACACAGTCAGATCACGTTACTGAGTTATGCACACACATAAGCAGATGTATTGCTATTTATATAGTAAATGAAATGGAGCAGCTTGCCGTAATTACATTAGGCCATACTTCCAATAGACTGGTTAATAAGGCTTATAACTCTAGGGGCAAATGTTTAAAAGGGGGCCCTCGGTAGACATCTCTTTCCATGGGAACATTTTTTTTTTCAATAGTTGTCTTCAGGCTTATATTGCTTTGAATCAATATATTGAATTATTGTTGCATTGAAATCATGACTTGGCCCAGCAGCCTGGGCTTTGCAGTAAAAATATAGATGCCTTCCATTTGTATAGTGCTTCATGCTTTTCCAAAGACACTTCTGGATTATCTCTCCTGATGTAATTCAATCCATTCATTTTTGGGCAGTTATTTTATAGTTTAAGACAGGATGAGAGAAATGGGGAGGGGAAAGGGATGCAGGGGTGTGAATTATTCTCTTTTTTAAAAGATTTATTTATTTATTTGAAAGGCAGAGTTTACAGAGAGAGGAGACACAGTTCTTTCATCTGCTTTTTCACTCCCCAAATGGCTGCAATGGCTGGAGCAGGGCTCCAATCCAAAGCCAGGAGCTTTTCCCAGGTCTCCCATGTGGGTGCAGGGGCCTAAGCACTTGGGCCATCTTCCACTGCTTTCTCAGGGACATTAGCAGAGAGCTGGATCAGAAGTGGAGTAGCTGGGACTAGAACCGACACCCAGTTGGGGTGCTGGTGCTGCAGGCGACAGCTCTACGGGGTACACCACAGGGCCAGCCCTGGGGTGTAAATTATTCTAAGCTAAAGCTGTCACAGGCACAAGGAGTTCAGGCAGCCACACAATTTGCTCATGGAAATGTCCCCTGGAAGCTTGGCTGGCATGGAGGCCCTTGTGGCATCTTCCCAGGTGCCTCTGTCATCAGCAAACCTTGTTTCTCTTCAGCTGCACTGGCCAACTCATCCGAGTTCTCACAGTCACTGCCAGCCAGAGTGTGCAGTGATAGGAGAAATGGGGAGACTTTTGAGTAAATGCAAGGCTGTTGTGTCCAGAAACCTGGTGTTGTTTACAGGATGTGAATCTACCCATTGTATAGTAGATAAGCCTGACATGTGAGTCCCATCCACTGAGAAAGTGGTGAAGCCGAGGTCAGCCTGCTGGCTCTGGTTCTTGGCTCATGATTGGTAATGATCCTTGTTCACCTTGAGTCAGTTGGGGGCAAGGGTGGTGGGCGGCGCTGTGCATCCACTATCTTTGTCCCACAGCTAATTATAGGACTGAGCTCCTGGCTCTGTCACTGCTTGGGGACCACTCTGGCTCTCACTCAGCCAGCTGGAGAAGTAGTTCCTGGATGTGGGCCATTCCCCATTCAAGAAGAAAGCAAAATGGATTCATTGTTAAAAAAATGAAAATAAATACTGTGGGTCTGTATCTTATAGACACGTTTGATTATCCACTATAGAAAGTACACACAACTCCTTAAAAACACCCTCCCACCCCCTCCTGTTCATTACTTGGTTGCACATCCTTTCACCTCGCCTTCTCTGCATGCACACAGACCTGTGCACCTTGCTCAGTTCCTGTGGGATTGTAAATGCAGGGTCAGCAGCTAAGTGTGCGTCATCTTCATCTCTTTGCAATTCAGTGTCTTCATCTGGAAAACTTTTTTTGAGGTCAACATGAGTGTAAAATGTTAGAATAATAACACAGGTGCAGTACGTGCCCATTGAGTGAGTGAATAATTCCCTTCATGGCCTAACACGTGTATTTCTCTTTTCTTCCCAGTTTATCCTTTGCTTCAGTTTTTACCAGTGGGAACCCATGACCTACGGCTCTTACCGCTACCCGAACTGGTCCATGGTACTTGGATGGCTGATGCTCGCCTGTTCTGTTATCTGGATCCCAATTATGTTTGTGATAAAAATGCATCTGGCTCCTGGCAGATTTATTGAGGTAATTCTGTCAGCTCCTCTCCCAAGGGAGAGCCCCTAAAAGCTGTGTGCATTAAAAGACAAAATATTCAGTAAACTTATTCGAGAGGGAGACTTGGTGATTAAGTGATTACAGTTGCCACAGTTTCTATTAAACCTATTTTTATTATGTATTGTTTCTCTAATGGAGGGGCTCAGCCAGTCTGAGGCTGGGCTGTTATTATGCTATTCCTCAGTGCAGTGACAGCTCTGGGGAATCAATGATCAGTGTGTCCTCTTTCCGGGAGTTTCTCCTCCTCTCCCCTCATCCACAGTTCAAAGCCTGGTGCTTCGTTTTTAACCACACATCAGATTCCCACTTTCTTGAAATTCCTCTCTGTCCAAGGCTTCTCCCTCCCAGACACCTCTTATATTCAGTTTGAAATCACGACTCCCCTCTGTTGTGGAAGCCTGTGTTAGGGATGGCTGAGGGATCAAGCTGATTAAAATGTCACTGTGGCCCTGGAATGTCATGAGTGCCAGGGCTTTGTCGATGTGAGGTGAGAACTTGTCTTGCCCAATCTACCCCTGGCTGGCCCCATTTTGAATGCAAAGGGCCCCCCCCCCCCCCCGCTTCACTTCAGAGTGGATGGGAGGGAGACCACCATTTATCCAGTTACCATGGACGAGGGTCCAGGCTTCTGGTGTTTATAAGAAGTCACTTGCTTAGGTGTGCGAGAAATTGGTCAGCCCCAGCCTCTGTCTTTAAGGTGCAGGGGAATGACATGTTGGATGAAAAAAGAGCTACGCAGGGTTTGGATCAGGGACAATATGCCATTTTATCTGGGACCTTTTCTTTAAATATAGGTTTTTAAGCTCCAAGCTTTTTGCATTGACCCACAATCTTGGGGAAGTAGGACCCTCATGTAGCTTAACTATCTTCCAGGTGATGCTGACGTACACACAAGTTTGAGAAGCAGTGGTCTAGAAGATAAAGAAATGCCTGCTGAGACAGAGGACAGGAGTACAGCTGTGTAGGCTTTGCTGTTGGGTAGCCAGGCGAAGGAGAGGAGAAGCAGGGTGGGGGTGAGGCCCACGAGTAGGTGCACAGCACAAAGGTGCACTTGGAGGGGAGGTAGCTTTGTTTTTGCTGGATTAAGGATGCAATGGAGTTGGTAAGGGGAGGTAACACAGTGTTCTTTCACTGAAACCATTCTCCAGGTTTCACTCTCAGGAAGTTCTGTTCATTGTCCACTTGAAGTGAACTAACTGAGGCCCTAATCACCCCCAGGGATGCTTCAGTCCCAACCTAGGAAAACCTCCCCACCAACTGACCCAGAAATCTCCTTCCCTCTGAACAGAACCTGTGATAACCTCAGCTACTGTAATCCTAGGCTGAGACTCCCTAAGCTGATGAGTTGGCTGTAGAAATTTATTATAGTTGATTTGAGACACAAGGGTGGCACACTGATGATTAAGGGGAGATTAAACTAACAGCTATAAGAAGCCGCTTCACTTTCATAGGTAATAAACATGTAATTGTTCCCTCTTATACAGTCAGAAATATGTTTTTTTCCTTTTTCTAGAAAACATTCCGATGAAATTATATTTTCCATAAGAATTTCAGTTGAAGGGCAGAGGCATCCCCATTATTTTTAGCTCTCCTGCAAGAACCCACACTGCTGAACCAAGTCAGAAGCATATATTTTTGTCAACAGATAATTAAAGTCTTTGCTTACATTTGGCCATGTATCTTTGGGGTTGAGAGTTTCTTTTCTGGTCATTTATATACATTTGAGAAATATGCTAAACAAAAATCCAATTATTTTGATGTAGCGACCCACTGTTGAGACTACAGAACAAGTAATTGAGCACATGTCTCTTATGCCTTGCACTTGGCAGTGGATACAGAAGCTTGTGGATTCTCTTCATTTGGAGGGGGAAACTGTGTAATTAAAATCTGGGCCCTTTATCCTCTATTAATTTTGTGCAAGGCAAACATGGAGCAATTGTAATATTGCTTGCAGGGTGAGGTAAATAATTTCAAGTGAACCAAACTGCATCTCTTCTTTAATCTGTCTGGCCTACTTAATTAATGGGGGCTGATCATCCTAATTGCCTTTCTTGGTAGGGGGCCTCTTAGCTCAAGGGGTGGGTGGGTGGTCTGCACAGGAGGGAGGTGCACTGCTGCTGTGACCATGTGTGTCTTTGGCTTCTTTGCAGAGGCTGAAGTTGGTGTGTTCACCACAGCCGGACTGGGGCCCATTCTTAGCTCAACACCGTGGGGAGCGTTACAAGAACATGATCGACCCTTTGGGAACGTCTTCTCTGGGACTCAAACTGCCAGTGAAAGATTTGGAACTAGGCACCCAGTGCTAGTCCGACGGTGTGGGATAGCGCAGACTCCATCCTGGTTTTCTTTTCTGCCTTCCCCTAACATCCCATTTTTCTTCGTTCTCTCTACATCTCAGTTCACATCCATGCATGACAGTGGTTACCTAGGAAAGTAGGACCTAGTGTTGCATGCTACAGTGAAGAGCTAGACAGATCACTTGGAGTGCAGTCTGCTTGTGTCCATGGTGGCATTTCTGATAGGGCTGGTCTCCTAGGCATGTGCTTCACCCTACAGGAACAGATCAACTAGAAGAGCCCTGAGAGGCACATGTAGTTTGACCAACAGAGAAGCATCCACTGTGTGTTGTCTTGTCTTTGGGGGGTGCTAGGAAGGCACACATAGAATGACAGAACTATAAGACTATTCCTTTGGAACCAACAGCATTGTAGAACTGAGCAGAATAAAGTAGGGATTTTTGCTCAGACACTAAAAGTTCAGGACAGGGTATGTTTAGTGGGCTAGCAAAAGTCAGAAAATGTTTTGGATGTAAGACAAGGCTGGCAGATCCAGCAACCACTTAATGGTTGAATTCATATTCCCAGTCACAACTGGGACCTGTTTCCTTCATTTGGACCGACTGCCTCAAGTGTACCATGAATTCAGATGCTTTACTCTCTGCACACTGCAAGTCTGTGAGAACTGAGGGTTCTCTCCCATCAGTTGTCTTTTTGTTGTTGTTGAATAGCCACATTTGTGAGTCCTTTTGGTTATTTTCTTCTGTGTAAGAAGCCATCTTATAATTTGTGCCTGATTTTGTATGTTCAGAGTAGAACTCCATTCAAGTTTCTACATGTCATTGAACACAGTGGTTCAATGTCATGGCCTTGTGTTTCTTCTCCTCTTAATGTCTTTCTATAAACTGTAGACCTATCTTCCAACCTCTGGGAAAACAAGGCTAACCCTGGTTCTGTGTATATATTTTATATGTAGGACACAAACTCTTAAAAGACAGAGGTAACTTCTCAATTTTTACTCTTAACTTTTTCATTCACAGTAAATGCCAATTGTGGTTATAGAGAAATCAAAGAATTGCAGAGCGTAGGAGAAAACAACCGCAATATTCACTGCTCTGGCAGTACATTTTAGGTCACTGTGTTTACAGAGATTTCTGATAAATACAGCTTAGGTAAGTAGAGTAGTGAGTGAGCCAATTAAGACTATAGCCTTTAAGACTACATTTAGCCAATTCAATTTTAAGAGTTCCCTATTCACAGTCCTCACTGTAACTGCAGCCTAATGAGAGTAAATCCTATGTCTGCAGAGAGTGGCAAAGCTGTAACCTTTATTATCTTCCTGTAGCCTGAACATGCATATATGAAATTTTAAAAATGTGATATATGTTCATGTAGTGTTTACTAGTAGTGGTGTTTTCTGTCCTTATAAATATCTTATGAATCACTGTAGAGATGGTGACTTTAGAATAGAGTAGTCTGGATTTCTTTTTACTTACAGTAATACTATCCAAGCCTAAAAGTGTTTCCTGTAGGGGAAACCATTTCAATCATTTTCTTATCCATTTGTCTTCATATTACAGGGTCTCAGGCAAAGTTTTAAGTTCAAATATCCTATATTGATGTGACATTTTCATCCTGTTCAACAGCTATGAAACCCAACAAAAGGCTTTAATGTAACATTTTTACAAAATGACTTCATTTGTAAGAAAAGCATTGACTCATTTTACTGAGCTCTTCCTTTTCTAGACTAAACATCATCGCCACTTGCCAACACCGATGTGAGCTTCCAGTCTTCAAGAGTAGCCTGTCGAAGCTTTTAGGAAGGGAAGCAAAGATGGATTTTGAATGTCAGGTTGTCACATCTGTTGTCTGTACTTTGTGTTTGTTCTCCTTCTTTCCCTGTTTCCAAATCTAGAACTTTCTAGAATCTATCTCACCAATCCAGTGTTTGCTGTCACAACCTGTCGGCCATTTACACTGATTTCTGCAAGAAAGCCATGCTGATGAGAAATCCCCATTACTGTAGCAGATGTCACAGAGTGGTAGCAAAAGTGAACCTCTAGATTGGGTATCAGGTGGAGTGAGAGAGGTGGGGAGGAATAAGTAAGGCTTAAAAATTATTGGCAGCCTTTTCAATTTGAAGGTTGAAGAAATGAGCTTAAATCTATTAGCAATCTCTCATGGGACTGATAAATTTGTGTCACAATGAATGGTTTTTGGCTTTTCTCTTACCTCTTGGCTAAAACTCAAGTCTGATGCTGGATGCCAATCAAATTTCTGCTAATCATTGCTGTACTGATGAAAAGAAGCGGGGGAATCCCCATGGACATTGTCAGGTTTGTTTTGTACACAGTGAAAGTTAACTTACTGGTGAGAATGGAGACCCCCTCTCAGACTCGTCCGTTTCATATGTGGGGACAGCCACATGTGTGTTAATTAGGTTTTATCTAAGTAAGGCAGGCTCAGGAGCTGCTCCCTGAGCAATGGGATATTTTTTTCATTTTCTCAAGAATTTCTAAATTTTCTATAACATTTTCTTGAAGTGTCATGCTCAGGTGAAAGGTTCTGAGCTGCCCTGGAAACAGTTACCTTGAAAATTTCGTTTTGTCCACTTCTATAGCCAAGTTTAACTTTGTGGCTTTCCATGGCATGGGTGTGTTCAGTATCTCAGCTATTTCTAGTCATCATCTATCTCCTGTGCACAGCTCTGTTGGGCTTGACCAGGACGCTGAGAGCTGAGATGTATTCAACCAGATGGATTGCTTCCATGCAATTAAAATGCACAGTCAGTGGGGAGGAAAAATGCATGAATAAAAATCAAACAAGTAGTATTGTCATAAACTGCCACCCAAGTTTCCCTTCATACCAAGAAACAAAAACAAAAACAAAAACAACGTGTTGCTTAGGAAAGACTTCCATTGGTTTTCTGTGCTGAATGGTGGGACATTTTCCACTAGCGAGATTATTTCATGATACCAACAAATGCTGGAAACCCATTCAGAGAAAAAAAAAGCCATATGTGAAAAAACAGTAACCCCGTAATATCCTTAAAGGTGAAAAAAAGTGTATATTTCTTAACGACTGTTGTGGCTTCTTATGCAAATGTTTGTCTTGTGTATCAGTACATTTTGATCTCTTTTGGGCTGTGTTTGTTGTATACCAATGTGTCCAGTTCTGGCTCTTTGTAGTAGCTACTGTTTCTTTTCCCTTTGTATTTATGTACTGCATGAAATCTGTGGTCAATGCAAAATCTCAACGACCGACCTCTGTGTCTTTGAAATTTCCAATGTGTGTTTACTGTGTAAGAAATGTAATTGACTTATATTTCAGCAGCACTTTAAAAAGAATGGAATACCATGACCTTTAAATGGATGAGACTTGGGTTGTCTTTATGCTAACATTGCACTGGAGTTTTTTTCCTTTAAGGTTTTGTTCTTATCTACCTGTACTGCAGAGGTTCCTGTGCTCCATCTGTCACCGTGATTTTCCCATGCCTTAAATTAAGACTTTTCTTTCTTCTTTGTTCTCTTGTCAATTGGTTGTGGTCCTCTTCCCAGAGGCCAGCACAATAACTGTTGCTCCACATGTGTGATGGCAAGATTGTACCACTGCTCTTGGCCCTGGACTTGGGTTTCCTGCCTGCTTCTTTGAGACTGGTGACTCATGTTGGGACATGCTTCGTGGTGAGTTGTCTTGCAGCAACAAAAGACAGAGGCCAACAAGTGAGCACTTCCTCTATGTCACTGTGGAGACTCCACGCAGACCACTTCAATGCAGGGAGCAAAGGCGGGTGACTTAGTCTTGATACTCGTTTCCCTGGGAAGTAGCCCTAAAATTTGTGAAAGGGAAGCTTCCAATGTTTCGTAGATTTTGCTTCAGTTTTCCAGAAAGATCGCTTCTGAGCAGGCTGCAGCTGAAGAGAAAGGTCTTTCAGGTTGGATATTTATCACCTCTGAGAAGGAAGCAGTGGTTTGATTTGCTTGCCATGGGTTAAATACATCTTCAGGTAACCATTTGCCTTACAGGTGTATTTATTGTTAGGATGATACTTAGTAATTGTCTAAGAACTGCTTTGTGTGTCATTTGTTGGTCTTTTTTTGCACTTTACTATGGACCTATCAAGGAATAGGTTAATTCTTAAATTGTATACTTGGCTGATGTCCTAAATGCAGGCATCTTACGTGGGCACTGTTGCCCATGAATAAAGATGTGCTCCCTAATCAGGCCCTTATATTTTTTCATTAATTGTACATGAAGAATATATATTATGTTATAAATAATACCCGTATATATATCTTATAGAGTACATATTATATCCTGTGCATTATTCATTTAAGAAGTCATTATTCTTGAGGCCCTACCTCAAATTTTGTATTTATGTGTATAAATGCAATTTATTGTATTATATATTTGCCTATTATATACTGATATAAATTAGAATTTATCCTAATAATGTCTGAGTTCACAAAACCCTAAATAAATGTCAGTGTTTAAAATATAATGATTACAGTATTGTGTCTGCTACAAATCCATTACCCACCATCTTTCTTTCTTAACAATGGCCTTCAGGTATGCCCAGGATTGATCTATTTTATTGTGAGGAACTTGGAACAGCTATGGAAAATTGCCCTCCTGGGAAAATGAGATATTGTGCTGCTGTGGAAACAAATATCAATTAAATTGTTATATTCTTAAATATCAGAACGCACTATTGTTTGATGAATTATTTACTATCCCCCGTAGTGGGGAGGGAGAAAGAGACCAGGGGCAGGGAAGAAGAGGGAGAGAGAGAGCAAGAGGAAGAGAGTGCGCATGAATGCGGAGGTCTGAAGTCTGAACAGACAGACTGAGCAAGTTAATTCCTTGTGTGTGTTTTCATGATTATTTCTCGGATTTTGATCTTCTTCAGTTAGGCAGACTTTTGTGTATCTTCTGTAGTGTGCAAGGCCCCAGGCTAAAACAATCCTGATATCAAGAAACTCAGAGCCCAGTAGGAAGACCACCCAGATTAAACAAACAAATGAGTAAATGTCACTCCTGTCTACTTTTCAGTGGCTGGAATCCTGTGCTGTCTGCCCAGAGATGGGGTGCGGAGGTCTTGTGTCACCATCTCTCCTGTCTGGTCAGGTCAACTCAGAAACTTGACTCTGTTCTCCTCAGATGAAGGCATGACACACTCATGCTCTGCCTCCATCACCAGCTTCAGTGCTAGGAGGCTGATGTGGATCACTGTCGGTGGAAAACAAATCCCTTCACAAGCTGATGCCAAAAGCCGCATGCCAAGAGGGTGGTCCAGATCTAGCATGGGAAAGATAGATGGTAGAGAGGTTTACACACACACTCAGGATTGATCATAATACTGCATTTTTAAAAATAAAGATTGACTTATTTATTTGAAAGCTAGAGTTACAGAGAGAGAAAGGGGGAGACTGAGTTCTTCCATCTGCTGGTTCACTCCTCAGATGACCGCAACAGCCAGGGTTGGGCAAGGCCAAAGTCAGGAGCCAGGAGCTTCATCAAGATCTTCCACATGGTTATTGGGGTCCAAATACTTGGGCCGTCTTCTGTGGCTTTTCTCAGGCCATTAGCAGGGAGCTGGATCAGAAGTGGAGTAGCTGAGATTTGAATGAGCACCCATATGGGAAGCTGGACTAGCAGCTGGTAGCTTTTCCCGCTATGCCACAATGCTGGCTCCATAAATCTACATTTCAGTGTGTACATAGAGCAGCAAATACCAAACTCAGTTTAAGGTCTTATCTTGCCAGTAATTGTTGTCTTGTAAGGATAATAAGAGGGCTCTGTGGGATCAGAGTTTGGTGTGGGTCATCACCCTCTAGTTCATTCCTGATATTCACTTGCTCCTTGTGTCTTGTAACTCTTTATTTTGAAAATTCTCACACATGCCTAAGTTGGAGAGAATAGAATGGTGAACTGTTCACATCACTCAGTTTCAACAATTAACAACTTATATCCAAGTTTATTTCATTTATCCCTCTCTCAACCTTGAAATATTATATTAAAGATAGTTGTTAAAGGGTCAGCACTGTGGTGTAGTGGGTGAAGCCACCACTTGCAGTGCTGGCATCCCGTATGGGCACTGGTTTGAGTCCTGGCTGCTCCACTTCCGATACAGCTCTCTGCTATGGCCTGGGATAGCAGTGGAAGATGACCCAAGTCCTTGGGCCCCTGCACCTGTGTGGGAGACCCGGAGGAAACTCCTGACTCCTGGCTTCAGATAGGCACAGTTCCAGCTATTGCAGCTATCTGGGGAGTGAACTAGCGAATGGAAGACCTCTCTCTTTCTTTGCCTCTGCCTCTATGTAACTCTGGCTTTCAAATAAATAAATGAATTTAAGAAAAGGTTGTTGGAACTGGCGCTATGGTGTAGCATTGTTAAGCTATGGCCCGCAGCGCTGCCATCCCACACGGGCTCCCTGCTAATGGCCTGGGAAAAGCAGCTGAAGATGGCCCAAATCCCTGGGCCCTGCCACCCATGTGGGAGACTCAGAAGAAGGTCCTGGCTCCTGGCTTTGACCTGGTCCAGCTTGGGTTATCGTGGGCATTTGGGGAGTTAATCAGTGAATGGAAAATTCTCTCTCTCTCTCTCTCTCACTTTACCTATCAAATAAATAAATAAATCTTTTAAAAGTTCTATAAAAATGTTGTTATTTAAGAGAGAGAGAAGGGGCTGGTGCTGTAGCATAGTGGGTAAAGCTGCCGCCTGCAATGCCAGCATCCCATATGGACGCTGGTTCAATCCCCTGCTGCTCCACTTTCGATCCAGCTCTCTGCTATGGCTTGGGAAAGCAGTAGATGATGGCCCAAGTCCTTGGATCCCTGCACCTGTGTGGGAGACCTAGAAGCTCCTGGCTCCTGGCTCCAGATTGACACAGCTCCTGGCGTTGCAGCCATCTGGGGAGTGAACTAGTGGATGGAAGACCTCTCTCTCTGCCTCTGCCTCTCTGTAACTCTGAGTTTCAAGTAAACAAATAAATCTTTTAAAAAAAAGTAAAGAGAGAGAAAGAGAGAAGTCTATTTGCTGGTTCACTATGCAGATGCCTGCAACAGAGCAGCCAGTGCTAGGTTAAGTGGAAGTCAGGAGCTGGGAACTCAATCTAGGGCCCCAATGTAGGTGAAAGGGACCAAAGCACTTGATCTATCACCTGTTACATTCTAGGTGTTCAATAGCAGGAAGCTGGGATCAGGAGCAGAGCCGGGACTCGAACCCAGGCACTTTGCTGTGGGATGCAGGTGTCCCAAGTGGTATGTTAACCAGAGTGTTTCAATGCATATTCCAGATATCATGGGATTTCAGCTGGAAATGCTCTGTTGTATTTTAATAACATTTAAACATAGTCTTTCCCTAAAGAAGGTAAGAACAAATGTGGGAAGCTTAGAGTTCATTCATCCAGAGCAGGTCCAATCTACTTTGGGCTGGTGGAAAGAAGCAGTGCAGGAACCGGTCTGGCCGGAACTCAGGTGGTGCGCATGCTGAGAACTGTCCTGGATTGCTCCGTCTGATCTTTCATCTTCTCTGCATTTGCTTGGCAGTTGTCCTCCCCTTGGGCTTTGCTGCTATTTTCTTACCCAACTCACCTCCTGCTCCCTTGGGTTGTTCTCTGCCTTTGTTCATGTTTCTTGCCCCCTTTCTCTAGGTGTTTCTGCTGCAGCCAGAGACTCAGAGTCTCACGTTGCACAGAACTCCAAGGTCACTTCTTGTATATCTGAGACACAGATTCTTCCATGCCCGCCTGCTTTGTGGTAATTGGATTTACAAAGCCATGCAAGTGGGACGAACAGTTGCTGTCCAGTTCATGGTGGGGTCCTTCACAAGAGAAAATACCTCTCAGGCCTTTACCATGGTTCAACCTAACAGAAGCTGGATTTACTTCTATGATCAACTCATTCTACTATGTGAAGCAGAGACAGTGTGTGCTTTGGGCCCTTGCTTTCTTTTTGTAATTTATGGGAATTTTGAGATTCCAAGTCATTTAAACCATCTCTGTCCCATTTTTGAGGATACCTCCTCCTATGGACACATACAGGAGTAGAAAAGGCACAAATTTTCATCATTCATTGATTCATAGTCTCATTTATTTATATTCACTCTGTACTCAATATCTTAATTATTTCTAATATCTAACAATTTATTGGCACATAGTAGATACTACACATACATTTTAAAAATTGAATAGACAAATATTGAGTATTGGCCTTATACAAGGAACAGAGATCAGGGTTATAATGTACAAGAAAATATGAATAAGACTAGGCCTCTCCCTCCAGGTTACACCCTATGGATTGGAATTTAACACACACACACACACACACACACACACACACATTGCCACAGTACATTATGGGAACTATCAAGTGCCACAAAAGCATTTAGGACAGGACCATATTGAGGGGGAGAATAGGAGGAAATTTTCTGACTAGAGGGATTCTGACTGGTTCTTCAAGAAGCAGGGGGGCCGGCGCTGTGGCATAGCCAGTGGGGCCGCCACCTGCTGTGTCAGCATTCCATATATGCGCCAATTCAGGTCATGGCTGCTCCACTTCTGATCCAGCTCTCTGGTATGGCCTGGGAAAGCAGTAGAAGTTGGCCCAATTCCTTGGGCCCCTGCACCCACGTGGGAGATTCAGAAGAAGCTCGTGGCTCCTGGCTTTGTTGGCCCAGCTCCAACCGTTGCAGTCATCTGGGGAGTGAATCAGTGGATGGAGGACCTCTCTCTCTCTCTTTCTCTAAGTCTCTGCCTATGTGTAGCTGCCTTTCAAATAAATAAATAAATTTTTAAAACAAGAAGTGGGGTACTGGTGTGTGGGGAGAGTTTGACCATCAGAAGGGTGGCTGCATGATCTTTCTAGGTGGGTGCAAACAAGTAAGTGACAGTGTGATTGTAAGACGACCACTTAAAGAATAAATGGTGGACAGATTTGGGAAGTGCAGCATGTGCTGATAGAAAGCAAGAACTGAGGCAGAAAATGTCATTTAGGGCTCGAGTGTCCAAGACGGTTGCCAGCAGGCCATTGGGAGCATGGGAGGCCGCTGAGGAGCGGGCTGGCATTTCCTGAAAGAGGCCGCTGTGATGCCAGAGACAAAGCACTGTCTGGGGTTTGAGTATCAGCTGTTTCCCTTATTAATGCAATCTCAGTTTTCTCATTTGTAAAATTGGAATCATTATAGTCATCTCACAAAGCTGCTATGAGATTGAATTAAAATTTGTAGATGCAATTGTTTTCTAAATAGCAACACCTTCCATAAATGTGGGATATTTACCCTGAGAGTCTGATTTGTGTATTTGGAAAATTAACTCAATTGCAGCATCACGATGGATCAGAGTAGGGAGAGATGTGAGGCAAGAACAGTGGTGTGATAGTGTACGAAATCAGCTCTCAGAAACCAAGACACCAGGTCACACAACAAAGGGTCTTGTGACATGGGATCATCTCTGATTCCTGTGCCTGGCACCATCGGGGGTTCAACTTTAAACTGAAGCAGTCAGTATGGAGATGATACTAATCTGTAGGCACAGATTTGGCTGTGAGGCAGGAGCACTGTCCTGAAGACAGTGCTCTGCCAGGTATTGTCATGCCAGTTGCTAGGTCACGGCAGTCTGGGAGTGCAGGAGAGGTGCTGGGGCACTTGCAGTCTTGGAAATGGGCTTAGAACAACCTAGATATTTTTATCTCTTATCTTGGCTCCTCCTCTTTTTTGGTCAGGAAACAAGCTGAGGAATTCTGGGATTCTTTGTGAAGGATATTTATTTTCATGAATTGCCTCCAGATGCCTGCCATTTCCGTTTCCTGTGGCACTCACCGCTGGTGTTCTGGAGGGGTGCACAGAGAGAGGTTCCTAAGGTTGCATGAATTTGATCTGTGTTGACTTTGAGATAGACCATATTTTTTTTTTAAAGATTTATTTGTTTATTTGAAAGGCAGAGTTTCAGAGAGGCAGAGGCAGAGAGAGAGACACACACACATACAAAGAGAGGCCTTCCATCCACTGGTTCACTCCCCAGATGGCCACAAGGGCTGGAGCTGTGCCAGTTGAAAACCAGGACCCAGGAGCTTCCTCCAGGTCTCCATGTGGGTGCAGGGGCCCAAGGACTTGGGCCGTCTTCTACTGCTTTCCCAGGCCATAGCAGAGAGCTGGATCGGAAATGGAGCTGCCAGGACTCAAACAGTGCCCAGATGGGATGCTGGCACCGCAGGTGGTGGTTTTACCCCCTATGCCACAGAACTGGCCCCTGAGGTATACCATATTTTAAAATACCATCCTGCCCTGCCTGCTCAAAAGTAGAGCACACTGGGAAGCATAGCCATGACAGTCTCCATGTGCACCCCTCTATTTTCTTGCCTTTTG